TGTATTCCTTGTTTAGAAGATATTTTTGCGATTTCAAAACTATTCAATAGTACTACTTCACAAAAAAAAACATTCTGAATCTGGCTTAATTAGTGAAGTACGTATTCGCACAACATCACTTGTCATACTTGTAGCAGTTTTCATGCAATTTACTCTTGAAAATAGACACTAGACAGTTTTTTTCTAAAATAATCTGTTCACAGCTAGACCTGTGCTGATAAGTGGTATTTTCACGCAAAAACTAGCTCGAGCATCTCTGAAATAGTATCTGTTCAGCATTCGACAATATACTAGTGATATCTGAGTACTATATTAGATATGCATTATTCAGACATTTTTGCGGCTAATTTTTTCAATTCATCCCCATGTCACACACATCATTTTGATCACCATTCAATTATATCGACTACCTATTAACTGACTATTGAACTGCATCTGCATCACCTCAGAATTATCGAACTTTCTTTGATCTCAGTGTTCATACAGCCGTAATGGATACTCAAGGTTCGAACTGACGTTAAACTCAAGTATAGAGTTTGAAACTTTCAGGAAGGATTCATAACGTCGAACTTTATTTTTAGTGAAATTTTCATGCTCAATTGAGCTTCTTTTCTAAACAAATGATATTGCCATCAGCTATTAGGATAGCCCGATCAGCCTGCTACATCGATGTTGCTCCGGCTGCGGGAGGTTTTTTTCTTCAATTGTTTAGTGTCAAAAGATGCAGAAATCATTTAAATATCTGTGGTAAAATATTCAGTTTGACACTCTGAACTTCAGAGTAACTTTTCCCCCGCCATAATAGAAGATCCCTGGAAAAAAAGTTCGTCAAACATAATAGAAGGTCCTCCATTAATTAACTCATTTTTGTTAATTAGGAACTTTAATTAGTGTTTTTTCCATCAAAATATCCCTGATTTTCAGAGCTTTGAGTTTGAAATATTAAGCGGGTACGGCCAGAATTACAATCATACCCTCAAAACCCTGAATACCACTTGAGTTTCTGGAAAACCTTTTAAACTGAATATTAGGGGAAAACTTGGATCTTTATCTAAGACCAGTTTTCTGTTATTGGGCGGCGGTCGTCAGGTCCCCTAAAGCATCTAAAAATCCATACGATTTTTTGCTCATAAAAATGGTCGACATTCAACATTTTGACTTTCATATGCCAAAAGAGACCACCGATGTCCATTTCAATTCACTAATTCCGAGAATGTCGATGTTTATTCTTGACATTTCTCCTTTGACAACGTCAAGTTTACCTTGGTTCATCGTTCTGACGTTCTAAGTTCCGATTGCATGCGGCTTTTTACAGCATCAAACTTCCCTTTTGACACTATATGCGTCAGTGGCTGGACGTCCTTTCGGCTTTGTTTCAGCCACGTCATAAATAATTCTAGCGCTAATCGTACTTGTTCTGAGGGTTGGGCAACATTTCGATCGGTGAGAAAAATGATCATTCCTAGAGGAACAATGCCACCCAAGTCAAAAATGCTACCTTAAGAATAGAAACAACGATATCAGTGCAGCAATGGTGATTCAATGAGAGCGCACTCTGTATATTGATTCCACCGGAAAAATGAGCGCAGCCATTGGAATAATGCGCAGCTTAGTAAGAATAATCCTTTATTACAGCGGAAAACTGATTCCATAGCGCTTCACATTCTATATTTCGTGTAGCGGAAAAATGAAAATCAATAGGAAAAATGAAAATTCCTATGGGAAAAGTGTTAATCGTAGTTAGAAAAATGCTTCATTTAAGCAGAAAAATGCTGTCAGTTTAAGAAAAATGATCTGGATAGGACTTCACATTCTATATTTCGTACAGAGGAAAAATGAAAATCAATAGGAAAAATGAATATTTCCATATGAAGAGTGCTATCGAGAGTTAGAATTATGCTTTCGTCAAGCGGAAAAATACTAGCACTTTAGTTATAATGTCTATGTTTATAGTCATAGAGGAAAAAAAATTTACACTTTGAACGGGCGTTTCCGATTTGTACTTTTGTTTTATTTTTGATCGAATTCAACTGATTGTGATGAATCCAATGAAATGACAGTAATTAAGATCTACAATAAAGGAATCTAGACGATTACAAATTACATGCATGTGAATATTATATATTAAATTCGTTTTCTGTTTACAAAAATTATATCCGTTGTTTTATAAGTTTTTCTCTTTTCTCTCTTTTATCGGATCACATTCGGATAACATATCGTGATAATGGAAAATCATATATATGTTTTTATGTAGATGTTGATATAGAAGAAATAGTTGTTTATAGTTATAGCGCACGTTTCTCGTTTCAGCGGACATTTTGTAATCCAGAGGATCTTTCTTAGATAAAAATTTTCTTCTTCTTCAACGAATCGGCTCCTTATAGTGAATTTAATCGATTAGCATTATTGAAAATCTACAATAATTTAATCTGGAAGATTAGAAATTGCATGTACGTGAATATGATACAGTAAATTCGTTGTGTGTATGGAAAAGCATGCAGATTGTTTGTATAGGTTTTTGTCTTTACCCACTTTCTTCGTATCCGATTCATATAACATGTCGTGATACAAAAAGAAAAGTATATGTGTTTCTCTGTGTCTATAGACACAATGAAGTAGTAGTTAGTGATAATTCTAGCGGACCTTCCTCAATCTAGAGGACCTTTCTATTAATACATATCTTATGTTCGTCAAGGAATCAACTGTAAAAATAATTGTAACCATGAATTTGTGACTGTGTTGTTATTGGTTACCTAGATCATATACTATTGAGGATTAGACAAATATTTGATCAGTGACATAAATGCTCGTTTCAGGCGGAAAAATGACGTTCAGGTCAAAAATGCTTAAAAACTAAACTTACGATACACACACCAAACAAGCAAACAGTAACGAAAATATACCGTTTCCCCAATAACGTCACCCCACTGTAAAAAAAAAAGAATTTGCAACGGAAAAATGAAAAACCCAATGGGAAAAATGCTATTGTGAATGATCTTTAGTAAGAATATTTATCTATTCGCGAGCAGAAAAATGAATTTTAGCGGAAAAATAGTTTAGATGGATGAAACATCATTTTTCTTTTTGAAGAAAAATGGGTTCGTATGTAATCGAAATGAACATACATCTATTCGCGATAAGAGAAAAATGAGTTTGCACGATACTAAGGATGTTTGGAAAATTTACAGTCGGTTAGATTATGGTGGACTTTGGTTAAAGCAATGATCGGTAAATTTTCATGAAGATGGGATGCCGAAAATCATTTACGATATAAACGAAAGTTTTGATAGTTTTGTGGTGATGCTTGACGAATGTCAAAGAGCTGGTAAGAAGTTTGATTCCAATGAATCGTTGGGAAAGAAGGAATGTGAAGAATGAAAGTGAAAATGAAAATGAAAACTACTCATATTTGGTGTTTGTAAAGTTGTGTATAGCATGGAATATGTTGTATATGCACGGATATCTTTTCTGAACAGTGACGACAAACGTACTCGATATATATTTAGTGTACACACGCTGACTTATACTTACATAGGGTGTCTTCTGTTATAGACAGAACGGGAAAAGAATTCATTTTTGACCTGAACGGCATTTTTCCGCTTGAAATGGACATTTATCTCACCGATCGATTCATTGCCCACTGCTGCTTGTTCTTTGCTCTTCCGCAGTAGCTGGTCGAGTACTTTCCAACCTGAGGGTCTCATCTTTCAGTACTATGTTGAGATCATCCTGGTTGTAATTGCCCATTTGGTTTTCTTGGCATGATACTGGAGTTGGTTGCCATTTCCTTCTCCAGTGGATCGTATTCAGTCTGATCTCTCGGTTGTGTCCTGTCCGTCATGAATGACCCTGCCGGGAGTGAGCACTCCCCACGGTTTAGTTCACATCGTCACCGAGATACGCAAGCCCCTTCACCACGGCAAGGTAACGATCCGCGAAGGAGGAATGATGATTATTTTCTGACTTTTTTTGAGACTAAAGTAAATGCGTTTACCCCGTAACAGTATTATAGCTAGGAAAGCGAGAAATATATATCAATGCGTTTTCAACAGGAACAAGTTTACATGCGTTTTGATTTCCACACGCATTCAAACGGCATCTTTTGATATGAATCCATTTGCGTGCTGTAGAATTGGAATGTAGGAAGTTGCATCTATTCGTTCCAAACGCGTCCAGAGCTTTGAAAATTTTGTATTTTTGATGCGGTCAAATACATCCTGTTGCTTAGCTTGTAGACATTCACGAATTCTCTCAGATTTTAAGCATGGATACATGGGTGATATAAAGAATATCATTGAGTTGTTCTATTTTCAATAAAAACAGATAGATTTTCGTATAGCATCTACTAAACAGGTCCTTATTGTAAACTTAAATCAGTTTGTAAATGATTCTGAACTGCTGCACACTGAAATAACGAAAATAAGATAATCATTATCAATTAAAAACGTAAAGAGATATTTGTGAAAAATTATCTCGCTCAAATATGTATCATAAAGAACCATTTTTAATTATGAGTGCGTCTCAACGCGTTTCATAATAACAGGTTAAATACGTTTCTATCCGTTTAGTTTAAAAATATACTCCAAAACTACAAATGTTCTCTAAATGCGTTTGTGTAACTCAGTGATTAGTGCATATAGATGCGTTTGCGTCATGCCTCCTTATAAAAACGTATAGAAACGTAGAAGATTTGCAACATAGGCGCGTCTGGCTGCGTCTAAAATGCGTTTCATGATTACGTGGGATGCCGTATGTACTGTAGTGATTAATTCAGTTTCTTAAGAAATCCACCGAAGACATCAAGTCGAGTGTGGGATGTGGGTCGTAAGTATTGTATAATCACCTACCCACACACCCACATCCGGTCTAAAATTCTTTTTATGTTACTGGATGTGGATCAGATATTTTATTACTGGACATTCCATTTTTCACAATGAAAATATATATGTGCAAGTATATGTAAAACAAACTATTTCTCTGTTTAGTTTCAATCAGAATGAATGGCATATTCACAAGCTCAGGCAATTGAATATTTTCAAGTAAAATTTTATTTCAAATCGTAAACTTCATTTTTATTCTATTGATTTCTAGTCATTAACTAACTGTAATGATCGACAAGTTGTCATTGAGTTTTTTAAAATGTACGAATGGGATGTCAATGTAAGTGCGTTTTACATTTAAATGAAGAAATTGAATAGAACGGAAACATCAAATAAATTTCCCTTTTTTTCTTTATTCTCATTAGTTTGCTACAGAAGCATTGTTGACGGATCCTGGTAAATCTTTTTCTTTTGTTTTTCTTAAATCAATTTTCATTTTAATAGATGCAGGCCGAATTAAAAGTGTTAAACCAAAGACGCCCACTTTACTTCGAACCATTTCAATGGAAGTAGGAATCCGATATAGATTAACGAATGAGGATTCAACAGAACAAGAAACAAGCTCTGAAAATCATGATCAACAAGCAAAAGTAAGCAAAAACTTAATAGGTTCTATTCAAAGTCATTTGTCTCTTTCAGAATCCTTCCCTTAATCTATCAAGTCATTCAGAAACAGAAAACGATTCCAATCACACTACAGCAACATTGAATATAGAACCTTCTGATGATCAAGTGCATCAACTTGCTGCATCAAATACAGAAACCACATCTTCAATCTTTCCCGATATCCAACAAGTTGATTTGAGTTAGTTTTGTTGAAACTCTAACATCTAGTAATCACTTGCTCAGCAAAAATGAAAAGCATAGAGAATGCAAAAGAATTTACTTTTCTACCATAAGACGGGGGAGTTTAGGACTTTTTATAAGCATAGTTAGAAGAGGATTTCAAAATTTTTAAATTCAATTCACATATTTCTGAGACGAACTTGTAGTTTTTATACGCATTTGATTAAACAGAATCATACTTTTGTCGACGTCATTTTCACTTATCTTTGACTTTATAAAATAATTTGTAAGTAAAAAACTACAAACTTTTTTTTTATACATTACTTAGGTAAACAACAACTTCTGCAATACGTATATTGGTTCAAATGTCATTGGTAACAATCATCGAATCAATACTCCATGGGGATCCCGAAAAAGTAAGAGTGCTTCTATCAGCTCATTATCATAAAAAAATTTCTCTCCTATAGTTGTTTATGCTGATTATACAGCATCGGGACGCGGTCTAAGATTTATCGAAGACTACATGATGACCAATGTCCTACCTTTGTATAAGAATAGTTTTCATTATAAAAGAAGAAATAATATCAGTTATTTTTAGTTATGCTAACACACATAGTGAAAATAATGCATGTGCATTACAAACTACGAAATATCGTGAAGAATCACGAACGCTGATTAAACGATGTGTGAATGCAACCAATGATGATGTAGTCATTTTTACTGGATCAGGTGAATGAATAAGTATCTCTCAGTTAGATAATAATAGAAACAATTCACAATTGTATAGGAGGAACAGCTGCTATCAATAAACTTGTTGATGCTTTACAGCTGAAAGATGAAACAGTTCGAAGAAAAAATGTTGTATTTATTAGTACCTTTGAACATCATTCAAATATTTTACCATGGAAAGAAACCGGTGTTGAAGTAAATTTTGTTTGATGCCTTTTATCTAGAAAATCATGACATTTTTCTATAGGTTATACGCATTCCTAATAATAAGCAAGGTCTGATGGATGACAATTTCTTAACGGCTCAATTGAAAAAGTATCATGATGAAGGTAAAAAACGTATTATTTGTACTTTTAATGCGGCGAGTAATGTAACTGGTATTCGAACTGATGTTGATAATATATCAACACTTGTTCATCAATATTGCGGTTTGATTTTTTGGGATTATGCAGCAGCAGCACCTTATGTTAAAATTGATATGAATCCATCCGAAATCGCTTCTAAAGATGCTGTTTTTATTTCTACACATAAATTTGTTGGTGGACCAGGGGCACCAGGTTGATATTAAATTTCAATTGAAGAAGAATCGAATCTACTTTAAAAAATGATTTTTCTTTCTGATTACATTTAGGTATTTTAATAGCTAAGAAAAAACTTTTTACCAATGAAGTTCCATCTGATTGTGGAGGTGGTACAGTAAATTTTGTAACTAGAACACAGACTGAATATGTAAAAGATATCGAAACACGTGAAGAAGGTGGAACGCCCAATATTCTTGGTTCTATTCGAGCTGGTTTAGTTTTTCATTTAAAAGAATCTGTCGGTTGTCACACTATTGAAACACGTGAAGACGCATTAGTTGAAAAATTCTTTGCACGCTTTCGAAATCATCTTACATTATTTGTACTTGGACCATCAACTGTTGCTCGACTAGGAATATTTTCATTTCTGATTTATGTGCCATCTATTAAAAAATGCTTGCATCACAATTTTATTTGTGTCTTATTGAATGATTTATTTGGTATTCAAGTGCGATCAGGATGTTCATGTGCTGGGCCTTATGTTTTAGTAAATGAGACTTTTTTATTTTGAATAAAAATTATCTTGTTCTATTTTCATTTTTTTATTTATCTAGGATCTGCTTAATATTAATGATGAAACAGCTGGCATTTATGCAAAATTTATTACAGCTAATGAAAAGTAAATTGTAATACATAAATAAATACTAGAATTGATTCATTTAAATTTCAGAGATGGACTGGGTGAAATACCTAAAATTGAACTAATGAAGCCTGGTTTTACTCGATTTAATTTATCATATTTTGCAAGTGGTAAAGAAGTTGATTATATTTTAAATGCAGTTGAATTTATCGCAACTGATGGATGGAAATTTTTATCATTGGTAAAAATTCTTTGTTTTTTCAATAATTTCTATTTAATAGAAACTATTTAACTGTTTCACTTGCTTCAGTATACGTATAATCCAGAAACAGCAGTATGGCGCGCTCGTTCAAAATCATCGCAAAATAATCTCTCTCAATATCATAGTCTACGAATGATTAGTTATACAACCGGTACAATGGAAGAAAATCTTGAACAGCAACAAGTAAAACTTTTCGTAATTAAACTTTGTTCTGCTATCATTAAATTTATTGATATTTTCTCATATAGAATTCAGATACGCCTCCTCTCATTACTAATATATCTTCGGATGATCCGATCGAGGACGCTAGACTGATCGCAAACAAAATACCAAAATATGTTTATGAAAATATCTGTTCTTTAAAAGATACACCATTAAATATTCCAGATAAATATAAAGATTTTATTTGGTTTGCTATACCGAAAGATGTTATTCCAAAAATTGTCATTGATTTTGCACAAATTGGTTCTACAACAGTACCGTTCCGTCCAAACAGAGATAATTAATAAATTATCATAAATGAAGTAAACTTTGCTTTACTTCTACAAAAACTATTGTCCGTTTCATTTTTAAGATGAGAGCATCTTCTAATCATCATACCGACTTGATTATAAACATTTACAGTTATTTTCAAAAAAGAATAAACTTGTATTAGCTTTTGCTTTGAACCTATTCTTTCATATACACTATGTCAACTCGAATTATTGTACCCAGAGATGCCGAAAAAATCACTTTTCCCAACCCGAGGGTTGACCCTACAGCAGCTGATAGAGCAATGGGTGGGTTTCAACCCAATTGTTATTTTTAATTCAGCGAATGGGTCATTGGGTTAGGTTGAGCAGGCCAACCCAACTCGGTGGGAAACCCATTGGGTTAACCCTGTCTATAATGCATTTCAATTCTCTGTTATGTGTAAAAATTTCATACTGCTGATAGAGGTCTATAGCTATCAACAGATTTCTATTATATTTGTGAACGAAATCATTTTCATTTTTGAGCGAATAAATTCACCAATAAAAATACACTGAAGTGTTATCATTCATTTCCTTTGTATATAACACAATACTAATTGCATCTAAAATATCATTTAAAAGTAGTGTCATTAAACAAAATTGTACTGATCGAAAATCGATATCTATATAGTGATTTATTTCTCTAACATATTGAAAACAACAGCTCCCAGGTGAATAAATCTGACAACGGATCTTATCGAATCCTATGGGATCCGACTCCCTGACAGAATACGATAGGATTCCTGGACACGGACCTATTGTTGGTTCCGACTGAAAAAATCGTTTTCTTATTCATGATCAAATAAGCATTTTGAGTCATCAGAGTGCAAGGGTGATTCGATAGAGTTGGATTCCGCTAAAATCCGACATCGAAGCCGATTGGATCCAATGCCAAGGATCCTATTGTAGATCCGTGTTCAGAAATCCCATAAGATTTCGTCGGATTTATTGAAACATATGGTATTCGGTATTTTCACTGTCTGACCCTTGTCAGAATCCGATAGGATTCTACTGACAAAATGATTATCCTGGGTACCCACACCTTTACCATTTTCCTTCCAAGAACCTTTTAAAGGTTTCCAAATATGCCAGAAAACCCTTTCAGGCATAAAAAAGCCTGGAAACCTATTTTCCGAGGTTCCTGGGAAAACGATTTTTATTTAAAGTGTACTTATTCAGCACACACAACCGATTGAGAACAAAAGAGAGAATGAACATAACAAAGTAGTTTTCTGACAGCAATGAGTACTATATCTTTTTTTATTGATAACATATCAAGTATTGTCCGTACGCTTGAGTATCATGATATGTGACGTAGATATGTTGGCCATCAGTAGTTGTGTGGTACTGTTTTGGGCAAACTTTCATTGTATTATCTCCAAGAGTTGTACGGCCAATTAGAACGCGTGCAAAAAACATGCATCGCTCACCATGTTTATTAGGCACTGCATAGGCATGACTATATTGTGCGTTTGACGAGAAATAAACACCATGCCCATAAAGCGTACCTAGAACAATGAAGCGACATGATTATAAATTAAACGTTGAAGTATTGAAAACAATATTCTATCAAAATCTCGCACCAGCAGTCTCTTGCATATTTCCATCCTAGTCGGTGAATAATTGTATGGCTTTACGACAGAATTATTTGAGGTTTGTGTTTCACAAAGTCTAGGGCAATCTTGCATTCCATTAGAACAAGTATTCATCGATCAACTTTACTATTGTATAACAAATGCTAAATTTTACCTACCGTTTTTTCCAGCAAAACTTCGATTGAAATAATCTTGAATAATACTGGATGTTGCCACGTCTGGGCAACCATGATAAAGAAATTTCTCAGTATTCATTTTCAGACTTTTTTTAAAATCAGCTCGATGAAGCATGTACTGTTTATGCCATCGCTCATTTTGAATACGTTCAATTCGATTTATTCTCGTATATTGACCAAACATTGTTTTGTTAAATTCGTTAATGATTGTATTATATTCAACTGTATTTATTTTTAAGGGCAAACGTAAAGTTCTTTGCTCATTTGTATATGTCCACATATGCGGTAAGACCGAAACAGCTAAAGTCGACGCTGAAAATAATAATAAAGAAGATTATTTGTGTTTTAATATGATGTATGACAATGCCACGTGAGTAAGTCAGTCAAAAATATAGTTGTAAAGTCTAGATGTTTAAATTCTGTACAGCAAATTGTTGAATTTCGCCTATGACAGTTTTAATAGAGTAATGAGGCCCAAGTGTTAGTTTTCTCGTTTTTTGCAAATGATATTAAGAAAAACATTATTTTTGTCTCAGAGATTGGTGCTTATTTGATGAAGAAGTCTTATTTCTCTGGAGTTGTCGCAATCAAAAGTTGACCTCAACGTTTTTTAAATGGAGAGTGGTTATTATTATTAGCACTTTTCACACTGGATGAAAATTACAGTTACCCAGAAAAACTCCAAAGATTTTTAAAAACACTGATTATTTCAAATGAAACTGATTGTCATGTCAGTGGATTTACTGAACTATATTCAGGTGAATTTATCCCCTTCCATGAATAACTACCAAATCTAAAATATGAGCCGCTAATGATTGATCTGAACCAAGTTATTTAAATGTTAAGCCACTGAAAATTTAAGTATATATGGATAACAGAATTTTTCAAATTCAAGTTTTGTACTATTAACTATTTTTCAACTGGTGTTACACGAATTTCGACGTTTCCGGAAAGTTTAGTAGTATGTGGGTGAGATAAAATAGGCTTCTTTTACAAAAAATCGCTTCGCATATAAAATGTTACAATGAGGTGTATTGCTGCTTTAATATCCTATGCATCGATATTTTATTTAAGATTAGCCTAGTATAATTGCAATCGAGTGTGAGTTTCGAGAACCGCTTATTTTTGATTTTCTGTCATAATCATTACTTCAAAAAGGTTATATTACTTTGATAAAATCACGAATCGAATCAATATCGTAGAGCACCTTCTTGATTTAACTAAAGACGGATTTGGGGTGTAGATATGAATGCAGACTGGAGGAACAGTGACATCCATCCCCGTCCCCACACATCTACATGCACACCCACACCCTTAAATGCGTAGAAAATTAATAAGTGCTTCATTATAGAAACTACATCTTCGACAAAAGCTGGCATCATATAAATATCGTGACAAATTAAAGTTAGAACGCTTTAACAATCAATAGTCAACAACGTATAAATCTGGGTGATTATTTGGTAAATTTGAAAAGCTTAGTTTTCAATCATTATCGACTGCATTAAAAGAATTAATCATTAAATTTTATAACCGCGATAATGTTAGTTACCAAATGCCCGGCAAACGGAATTGTATTATAATAGAGAATCACGGCAAAAAATTACAGTACAAAAGTCATCGTCATCGTGCAACGAAACCGTCATCGCGTTACATTAATGAAGCAAGTCTCTTGCTAAAATGAGAAGACTGCGAGAAAATGTTTTTGTTCATCGCAAACCTCAGACTGTCGGGTATAAAATACCTAGTGAAAGTTCCTTTCGATGCTGTAGAATATTCACAGAAAAATTAAGAACAGCCACATCGCCCAGAACTCTACTCCTTTTCTTCGTAATAGCATTTTTTCAACTATTGTTGCTATAGTTTTCGAAGGGCTCATACAACAGAGCTCATATTTTCAGATATTTTGAACAAGACAGAGACATCTTCCAACGAAAGAACACACATTCTAAGTAATCTAATTGCTGAGAAAATTTTAAAAAATGGTGAAGAAAACGTCACCGCGTTACGCTCGGACAAGCCGTTCTATATGTAAAATCAGAATTTCAAAACCTTTCTTCGTTATAAAGAAAATTGTGATCCATGGTTATAAATCAGAGCTGCCAATAGGACAACTTTTTTCAGCCCGGGATGGTCTGCAGACCAAACTAGACGAAATAATATTTCAAATGTTTTATAACGATGAAATTTACAAATTAGCATTAATTTATTGAATAAGTATAAATTATTCATTTGATATGTGCTCATGAGAGCAATAGAGTTCAGGATGCCAATTTTCAACTAAGAGCAGTCATGAATCAATTTTAAGATCGATTTTAAGAAAATCTTTGACGCAAGACTACGGGCCTGAGTTCTGAAATGAAACACTTACAAATATTTAATCAATCAAGTAGATGTTGAAATTCAAGAATCGGATGTGGAAATTTGTTTTTTTAAATAAAGTTATAACTAAATATGGAAAGTATCAATTATCTAAAGTGCTTACTGATATGTAAGGTATCTTCAATCACAAATGCGTACAAATGAGAACTCATCAAAATTTTCTTAAAAGTCCCTACTAATCTTACGGTTTAATGAATTTATTCACACGATGATTTTTCAAGTAGGCAGGGCCTGATTCTCCGTCATTTTCATTAAACGAAATTCTAGATTCGACTCTAGTGTATACTAGCTCTTGGAATCATGAAACTTTTTAACTGAGTAGCGCAATGTTCCGTAGTATAATATTGAACCAGTACGAAGAACTTTAAATAGTTTTGGCACAAAAAAGAGCTAAAAATAATAGTAGTTGTCTATCATCAAAGGAGAAAATTCAAAAAATTTAAGAAGATATTGAAAATTCTGAGTGCCAGAGAAATGAAAAGTTAATAGTAACAAATGCGGCCAAATGACCGTATAAAACGTATGAAAACATTGATTTGAATTAATGATCAACAAAAAATTTTAAAAGGAACCATAATTGTTTCGTGAAGTCGTCTCATTTCTAGAGTTGATTACTGTAAATATTAGTGTTAAATCACACCCAGACTCAGAACTTTAGCCTGGCAGATAGCAGGCATGACGAGCAACTCTGGTCCCGATTAGACCTTGTCGTCCATAATAGAAATATTCGCTTCTCTATGTAGGTAATAGTCTGTCGAAAAACAACAATATTTCTAAACATGTAACTGGACCCAAGCTACAAGACCATGATATAAAAATGGGACCTTAGAGAGAGTGACAGCTTTGGCTCCTTAATGGGATCAGTCTTTTTCCCGCAAAAATTATATTGTTACTCGTTAATGACAGTTTCTGTGGCCCTATGTTTCCGTTTTCGGGTGTTTTAGTTTCGATGTGACAAATAAAAATATCAATAGAAGTTACCTCGGGTGATAGAAAAATCTGACCTGTGATACTGCTGACATTTGATTACCTTGAGCTCTCTGAAAAGCATCAAATACTTCCTGGTGCGACGGTTGTATAACGAATGTGATATTTATCGGATATTTTTCTATTATAATATGATGATACATTGATGCAGCTATGAATGCGATATCTAAACCGAACCGACCGCAACCGATTGCCGGAAATGCTACACTTGTATAGTTTTGGTCCAGCACATACTGAATTGCTAACGCTATAAACTCTCTTATGCTCTGTTCCAGGAGCACATCATGTTGACTTGGTACCCATGGCAGGAATAAAATTTGTTGGCATGGCAAGACTGGAGACCATAAGGCCAAAGCTTGATCTGTTGTTCTTTTACCTTTTTCATATTGCTTTCGTACATCAGAACCAGCTGCCTGTAATACATATTCTCTCAGTATATCTGATGACAAGCACACTACAATCACATCAACCTAAAAAGATCAAAAAAAATTGGCATATTCTTCACTGAATGGAAATCTAGCAAAAAGCCTTCAGAACAATTTGGGTATTTCCATTTTCGCCGAATTTCAACTTTACTGGAAGAATATTTGCCGCCGGCAACATCAAAATGAGTGTGGAATGTGGGTGTAGATGTATATATGTGTGGATATGAATCATTGGAATTAGTGAAAGCATTTTTTCGGTGAAGTTTGAATCCGGAGAAAATTGTGATCGACGGAATCGGACTGATTCGAATAATTTTAACCACTCGAATTTTCTCTTGATATGTTATGGTTACTCAGAAATGGCACACCACTGAGGATGAAAATATATTTAAAACATTGAAGAGGACTAAAACTGTCGCATTGAATAGCCAGTGTTTGGATTAATAACTGAGTAAACTGTAAAAACCAAAAACGCAGAATGATCTTATGTTGGGCTATTTGAATTTGTGGCAATATTCAATTTCGCGAAAAAAATTATAAATTTCTAACAAAACCAGCCACTACAGTGATATAGTAGCATTTTGGTGAGAGTGTGGGTGATGTTAACGGTCGAATAGCAATTAGGATAAATGTGAGAGTGAGGGTAGCATAAGGGTGCCCATCAGGGTGCAGGTACGAGTATTGACCCATTCAATGTGATAGGCTCACACCCACGCTCACATCCACACTCAAAAGTCATTAATGACTCATGCTGGTCTGACCGGTATCAGTACTGGTCTAGAAAAAAACCTTACCGACTGTACCTCTGGCGTAGAGAAAAAATTAGCTTACTTTTTGCTTCGTCAAATCCCCCTTACGAATCTGAACATTTGAACGCACAGGAAAATCAATAGTCTGGAGAACATCTGTAATACAGAGTGTGTTAGCATTAGGCATCACAATGGTGTCTATCACAACTGACCTGAGAGACCATCTGTTGTAAATACTGAATTCTCCGAGGATTTTCTCAACAGTGATGGAGTTCGTGATATATTCCTTGATGCCAATGATTTGAAAGAGCCTCTTCTTTGCAGTGGTGGAGTTTGAGATCTGCCCCTTGACAACGATGATTTGAAAGAGCCTCTTCTTTGTAGTGGTGGAGTTTGAGATCTGCCCCTTGACAACGGTGATTTGAAAGAGCCTCTTCTTTGTAGTGGTGGAGTTTGAGATCTACCCCTTGACAACGATGATTTGAAAGAGCCTCTTCTCTTTAGCGGTGAAGTTCGAGATCTTCTCCTTGCCATAGAACCTTTAGAAGCTCTATGTTTGGTAGAGGAAGAAAGTGCAAGCCTATATATTTTTGGCATTTTCAAATGTCAGCTATGCTCTATTGATCGTTTCACACCTTAATGTAGGAAGAAAAATAGTACCACTTAATCATTCACGGATTTCTAAAGCATGATATTAAAAGTAACATTTTTCCTAATGAAGAATGCGATTGTTCGCGAATTTTCTATACTGTTCACGACCAGTTCGTTTACTCTATAAGAAACGATGTGGTGTCCACAGCGAAAAACATATTAGGAAAAGTTTCTCCGCGAAAGTTTTCTTTCCACAATGATCATTGTCTTTTTATTGATGAAAGTGACTCATCATGATGAATGTGTATACTACATGCAGCCCTTGTTTTTCTCTTATTTCTGATCCGCTGACATGTTCTATTCTTTTCTCTTTTACGTAAATATTTTATCATGCACGATACTATCTCGCTGATATATACACTGTGCATTTTCTTCGGTCAACTAAATGAATATGGCTGATTCAACATCGCTCTCTTTTACTATTTGGAATCGAGACAAGTTATTGATTCGTTTAATTGGAACATGTCAATCTGCTTAAAAATCGATGATACAAGTTAAGTATTGGGCTTTTCATGCGACTGGCTGTGCAGTCAGCGTTCACACGTATAAGAGCGATCTTTTTCTCAAAGCCACTGGGCATTATCAGCATATATCCATCAGAACAGATCGAACTCCAAACTCTTAAGATGAAAGCGATTGATCGAGTTCATACCGTAACAATTACAGCGTCTACATCAAGCAGAACTTGCTCTTCCTAATCTCTCCCAGACCTCACTGACTCTTATGCGTGCTATAACTGATGCCAATGGATTCTCCTTCATTGAAAATGCCAACTGGAGGTGGAACATTTCATTTGCAGTATCAGTTTCTCAAAGTTTTCTTTTTTCTCCCTTTACTTATTATCCACGTATGCTATATCCTTTGCTTACTAAATCTGGCATAAATTATTTTCTATTTGATTATAAATACTGATTTTGCTATTTTCGATTCAGGTGTTTTGTCTTTCGCTATGGGAATTTTTTCGCGGAAAAAGATTTCTCTGATTTTGCTTTTCTACTGATTTTACATGTCGCTGAAACGTTCTTCGCTATTTACTTTCGCTGATCTGCAACTGTATCCTGAAATTGACTTGAGATTGATAGGAGTTGGTCGAAAACACCTTGAAAATTTGAATTTTCAGCCAACTCCATATCAACTCCGAAACCTTTGCTCAATGTTTCGTGAATTTCCACTAGTTTTGAATACAGCAAAAAACTGATCTTAGACGAAATAGAAAATCCACAAACAATTCTACTGTTCATCAAGAAAAAATGTTATCTTTAATACCATGTTGTAGGAATTGGTACATCCCTAGACTCACGGTAAAATTTCGTACAATGTCCAAATCGCTCTAAATTTAATGCTGTATTCCTTGAGCCAACTGGTTGTTATAGTCACTGGCAAAATGGCTTCGATAGTAACATCTATAACTAAAATAAAATACATTAACAATAATGAAGCTATTGAAAAATAAATGATTTATAAACGCGAGTTTGGCTCTGTTCGTGGTTTTCATTACTATCACTTTTCTCAAAAGAGTGCTAGGTACATGGATACTCATAATTGGAACATATCTGCTTTTGCAGAAGAAAAATACATTTGAAATTGATGAAGCTTGAATTTTCTTAGTGTTGCTGCACAGTGTTTTGAAGATATATATAATACATTTTATTCAAACGGTTTTTTCCTGCTTAAAAATAACCTTCCTACGTTCTCGAATTACAAGTACCAAAACGGAAGCAATGGCGAAACAGTCATTTTCTCTTTCATTCTCGGCAATTGTGTGCTTCAATGCTGCTCAGACAAGAATCATGTGAGACAATCAATACAGAAAGAACTTGAAAGGAACGAAAAAAGTTGCCATAAGCAAAATAATGTCACAGTGTGAATGAAATTTTACATGAGCTTCTTAATTCAATTTCTAATCAACCAACAAATGTAGAATTATTTTAATGCAAAAATCTTTTATTTTATCATAATGTGAACATTTTCGATCTGATACGATCATTTTCAACCAAAGTGAGGGTGTGAGTATGGTTTTTGCCTCTGCAAAAAAAGAGAAAACCCACACCCAACTACTCTTTTATAAATTTCGTAAATTACCATAACCACCCATAATAGATATTTTGAAGATGTATTCGAATAAAAGTAAACATGCAATATTTAGCATTATCGCTGTTCCTTTGAGTCATCAGAAAGAAAGATCTCTATGCAGAATCGTGTATTAAGTTAATTTTCTAGCAAGAACGGTTTTCAAGAAGCCTGATCATGTCAGATTTTTGTATTTTTCTTTGACTTTATACGATCAAATTGAAGGTCTACACCAAGTACAACAACCAGACATGTTTCTGGATGTCGAATCTATAGGAACTCTTTATTAACTTGTTCTGCCATACAGACTCTTGTGTATTGATGATAATGAGAGAAAAAATTCTACGGCACCTATTTTACTAGAGTTTCATAATACCAAATTGCAAAAAAGAATTCCATTGTAGTATTCACTCAATAGAGAAGCCCTAACGATTGTTTTTATAATTTCGAACGAATGTCAGCAAGAAATCGTTGAATCGCGTGACAGTCAGCTGTTTATTCAATGATCAGAAAGAAGAAAACAGTTGTACATATACACAAGAAAATTTTCTTTTCTATTTACATTATGTATAATAAAATGTTTTTTTAACATTAATTCCATATTCATCTAGAACATGTGTTAAATCACTCAGCGTTAATGTTTGATTCGTTGATCCGATCGGTTTTTTCCCACTTGCAACATTGCTGGCTGAATCTGTCGTCGTTGTTGCTTCTGTTGTTGATTGGGCAGGGGCAGCAGCCGCCGCTGCAACTGGTGCTGGTCGATTAGTAGATTTTTCTCGTATTTTATGTAATTGAAAAGAATCATTTATAATATCTAAAATAAAACAAATCATTAGAAAATTCTATTTTGTTTTTCAGTCTCTGATCGTACCTGTCATAAATTTTTGAACCGACACTGACATTAATTTCACAACACGTTCATCATCGGCTTGTAATCCACATTGTCTCATGTAAAATTTTGTTACTGTTTCTGGTATAGCAGGTGTAAATTGATCTAATGTTGTTGTAAATTTATTTAAATCTTCTTCGTCGACTAATGTTTCATCACAACTTGATGATGAATCTTCCATGCTCTCAGTCATTTATCTATGAAAAAAAAACAAAAAAAAATAGATGTCATAGAGAAGTCCGATGAATAAATGCTTTATTTTAGAAAGACAAAAATTATGAAGGCCTTTTATTCTTTCATCATAACGCTAAACGTTTAGAAAAAGTAAATAGATAATTGTTCACAGCACAATACAACGATCCGCAAGATAGAATAGATGATACCATTGAATACCATGATAAACAAAGCCTGAAACCATCGATATTGAATGAAATAAATTAAATTTATTGCTAACAACACGATATTTTGGATCATTACGAGTCAATCGTTCAATATCCTCAGTCGACTATGAAAACAAGATATAATGATTCGAAGAAGCGATCAAGAAAATAAAACCTTAGCTCCTTGTAAAAATTCAATATTATTTCGATCAAACATTAAATTTGTCACCAATGGATTAAGAAAAATACTGTTTAATTCAGCTGCAACTAAAGCTGCGATTAATGCCATGCCCTATTGAAATAAAAATTATATTCGTACTAATTTTATTATTTTTCAGCAAACCATTTTGTTTGATTCTCTTGACCATGCCTTAAATGGATGACGAAGCAAAAATGTTCCTAAACTTAAACTAGCCAGAATAGCTGTTGACGAAAAGTAAACATTTGATAGATGCGATTGTACTGTTGCGAATTCATCACGTGTTAACATACGTTGAACAGCACGACCTAAATTTCCACTTTTTTTGTGTTCAAGAGCAAAAAACAAACGAGGAAAAAGAAAGTTTTACCATGAACAGTTGTTATCCAAAAACTAACACCAAATCCACCGGAAACACCAATCAAATGTAAAAATGAAACATTGGGTGAGGATGCAACAGGTTTGCCTTTGGACAATGCATATCCAACATAACCTAAAGCGCCCAGTGATGCAAGAAATGACGGAGTCAAATACCTACATAAAATAAAATAATATTTCTTGAAAACGAAATTATTTTGATATTCACCAAGCTTCTGGCCATGTCTTTCTATACAGTTCATGAACAGTATCTTCTACTTTGCTCACTTGCGAGCCCATTCTTATAAACTACGATAATATCTGAAATAGAAGGCAACGGCATGCACTTTTAATTCACACCGTCAAGATATTGATGAATTATAGCGCCATTTCTTACAGATAATGCAAAAAGTAAAGATACAAGTCTTATAACAGAAGTACTAGGAAGGAAGGCAGGAGCTCTCATAGTTCCATAGTTTACATTTATATCCATCAGTACAAAGATTGCTAAAAACAGAATCCGATTGATTAACACAAAAACCAATCAGAACGTAGTTGAATTGTATCAATTATGATTGATATTGTCTATGTGAGCAATATTGGCTAATCCTAAGATATTATCGAAATAAAACTACTGTTACATCACAATAATTGGAAGTCGCGAGACTTATATTTAAAAAACAGAGGAGGGCGGTAACGTCCACTATCCAATATAAGAAGATATACTATAATATATATGGATAAAGAATTCCAAATTCAATTTAAAGACTTGTACAATATTAAATTTTTTCGAGATGAAAATAAGGTTTCACAAGATATTAGCTCATATCTCGAGCTTTTCGATTTTCTCTTGAGTATTGCCTACGAATTATTAATGGAAATTCTATTCAAGCCGACTAGATGAATGTGGTCAAGAATAGGATTATTGTATCGAATAACAACGCATGCTTAGATTAAATTTATAAATTAAATTAAAATTGGATTATTGATTACGACATTTTGCATATGAAGAATATAAAACAAAGGCATCTAAATATGAATTCTATTCGATATTTTTCGAATAAATATGTACGTATCATTGAATGATTTCAATAGAGAAGGACACACATCTGCTTCCTTCTTTTGTTTTTACATTCAATACGTCTTTTATAATATGCCCGCATGTACTGAATGATCAATTTTTATCTCTAAAAATAAAAGATTCAAGTTCAGTTTTTAATATTCCATATTTTGTTTTGTCTCGGTATAAAATCTATTTCTTCTTCTTCTATTCGACATAGCATGTGACTTTATCGAGGCACCAATAACTTTATCAGTAACATTTACACATCTAAAAGTGTATGACTATGTGTGTTTATTCTTTTCTTTCTCTCTCTCTCTCTTCCTTCATCTATTTGAATTAAAACCTTTCTTTTTATCTCACTGGTAAACACACACATTTATAAAGATACATTCTTTAACATGTCTTGATAATAAAGACAATACACACGTATATCATTTTGTTTTATTTAAGAGTATCAATGACTGCCTATAACTTATCGAAAGACAAACAAATTGAATTAGCTCGAATAGCTGAAGCTATAGCTACACCGGGTAAAGGCATTCTAGCTGCAGATGAACCAGCAGGTTTGACATACATAGAATTCCCCCCCCCCCTAGTTTTCAGAAAAATACATTAAGCTATTTAGACATAATGGCGTCACGTTGGGCACCAGTAAATATTGAGAATACTGAAGAAAATCGTCGATATTATCGCCAATTATTATTTCGTACAAAAGAAAGCTCACATTACATCAGCGGAATTATATTATGTCATGAAACATTTCATCACACAACTGATGATGATTATACATCATTTCCTCGTTTATTACAAGAAAATGGTATTCTACCAGGTATTACAGTTGATCAAAGTACAGTTGTATTAGGTGGTACTGATAATGAGCCAACAACGCAAGGTTAATAAACAGGAAAAATTATGCTTTAAAACAAAAACTTGATTTTGTTTTCTTATAATTATAGGTTTAGATAATTTGGAACAACGATGTCGAGAATATAAAAAACTCGGTGCACAATTTGCTAAATGGCGAGCAGTAATAACCATTGGTCCTAATAGCCCATCACAATTAGCTATCGATGAAAATGCAAAAACACTTGCTCGATATGCTTCAATTTGTCAACAAGTATGAATTTGGAAGGCTGAATTGGAATCCTTCTATGTCTTGTTCTAGTGTGGTCTTGTACCTATTGTTGAACCAGAAGTATCACAAGATGGTGATCATGATCTTGAAGTATGTCAACGTGTTACGGAAAAAGTTTTAGCAACAGTTTATAAAGCATTAAATGATTATCATGTCTATCTTGAAGGAACACTTCTGAAACCTAATATGGTTACTCCAGGTAATAAATCAACAAAACAATATTCAATTGAACAAATTGCAGAAGCAACTGTTATTACATTTCGTCGAACTGTACCAGTAGCTGTACCAGGAATAATGTTTCTTTCCGGTATGATAATGATTTATAGAACGATTTCATATTTTTTTAAATTTTTTTTAAATTCAGGTGGACATAATGAAGAAAATTCTACAGTTTATTTAAATGCAATTAATCGTGTTGCACTCTATAAACCATGGTTATTATCATTTAGTTATGGGCGTGCATTACAAACATCGGTTTTACATGCTTGGAAAGGTGATAAGGCTAATGATGAACAAGCAAGCCATGAATTTCTTCGTTTAGCTAAAGTAACAGAACTTCACTATGAAATATAATAAAAAAAAAGAATTCACTTTATTTCTGTTTAGCAAAATAGTCTTGCTTCATTGGGCAAATATGAAGCAGCTGCTTAAAAAAACAAATTTTTTTATTGAGAATCCGAAAAAATATTTTAATGCTTAATAATGAATAGTTTGATTAAATTGATTATTTTTTAGATAATGTTTCGTCATAATTCAGCATCATCGATCATGAAATACATTCTAGTTACTGGCGGTGTAATTAGTGGTATCGGAAAAGGAATTATTTCGTCGAGTATAGGTACAATACTTCGTTCGCATGGATTTCGTGTTACATCAATTAAAGTAAATATAGAAAATAATCAATAGGAAAATTTTAAAAAAATCTAGAAAAATTTAGATCGATCCATATATAAATATTGATGCCGGAACCTTTTCACCGTATGAACATGGAGAAGTTTTTGTACTTGACGATGGCGGGTAATTGAAGTCTTTGCTTGTATCTCTAGATTTTTTGTCGAACGTACTTATAGAATATTTTTCAAAGGCAATGGTAAGATAATTAATTGTTGCTCATTGTGTGTCAAGCTTAGAAACGTCGCTTGTATATTGCATTGAGAAATATTGTGATAATTAAAAGGATGATCCTGAAAATAAATGCTAAGCGAAGAATTTTGATTGAAAAAAATGAAAAAATTAATTTCTCTTTTGTTTTTCTATTTCTAGTGAAGTCGATTTAGATTTGGGTAATTATGAACGGTTTCTCGATGTTACATTACATCGAGATAATAATATAACAACTGGTAAAATTTATCAATATGTGATTGATAAAGAACGTCGTGGTGATTATCTTGGCAAAACTGTACAAGGTTACGAGAAAAAGAAATTCGATTAAATATATTCAAATTGATTATTTTTTTTGTTATATAGTTGTACCACATATAACTGACGCAATTCAAGAATGGGTTGAACGTGTCGCACGTATATCCGTTGATGAAGATAAATCTGAACCGGATATATGTATTATTGAAGTAAGATCGAATAACAAGAGAAAATCTCCTACGAACGGGTGTTTTGTTTTTATTAGCTTGGTGGTACGATTGGTGATATTGAAAGTATGTCATTTGTTGAGGCATTTCGACAATTTCAATTTCGTGTCAAGAAAGAAAATTTTTGTTTGGTTCATGTCAGTCTGGTTCCACAAGTCTGTATCGAATAGATCGTTTGTCTTTTTTATCTGTAAAATTTCTTATCTCTATAGCCAAATTCTACAAAAGAACATAAAACGAAACCAACACAACATAGTGTAAAAGAACTTCGTGGTTATGGTTTAACTCCTGATCTTGTAAGGAAATATCTTTTGTTCTAATTTTAAAATCGTATTCATACCTTTGACATATTTTTCTCAAAAAGATTATCTGCCGATCGGCTACACCAATGCCATTGTCAGCAAAAGAAAAAGTTTCAATGTTTTGTCAAGTTGATAAAGAACATGTATGTTGAATAAAATAATGTTTCTTACTGAATTTCGTCCTTCAAGGTTATTTGCATACCTGATGTTAAAACTCTATTTCGTGTTCCGTTGCTAATGGAAGAAAATGGCGTTTTTAATTTTCTATCAACACGTCTTCATTTAATGCCAAAATCGAATTATGATCGATCACTTATGATAAAATGGCGAGATTTAGCTGAACGGTATGTTATATTCAATAGAAAAAAAAACAAATATATTCATAATAAATGAAAAGACTAATTATCGCAATTGTGTTAGTTACTAATTAAACTGTTGTATTAGTAACAACAGTTAAGTTACTACTACTGATAAGACCAGCTGCACCAATACCCAGACCTAATCCTAAGGCCATACCAATAAGAACGACAGCAGAAATAAGACAAGCTATGATTGGTAAAGTTTTGCCACCTGCAGCTGTTCGTTTTGGAGCCTCATAAATTGGTGAAGGAATCAATTGATGCGATGGAGCATAACGCATATAAGCATCTTGATTATACATGATGTTGTTGAATATGAATGAATCTAGATTTTGATAAGTAACAATAAAATAGATATACAATGTTTCGAGTGTGACTCTTTTAGAAATAAGGATACAATAAAACTACATCTTGTTACTCTATGAAGCGTGACTACGATATTCACGGACGGAAAAAAATTGACACAAGAATAATCATACTATCAAGGATGCAGACGACTCAATATACGTTTTTTTCCTTTATGTAGTCAATACATCGATATCTGAAGCTACTAAACCCTGAAGTTGTAATTGATTGTTATCAGTTTTTTAGAGTTATTCATAGTGAAGGTTTTGTTTACTGTATATATGAGATCAAGCAAACCTCTCAATAATAGGATTTAATAACTAAAAGTTAGAACATTACGTATCCTAGAAAATCTTTTATTCTAAAATAAATATTAAAATTATATTCGCAAACTCAAGGATGTCTCCAGAGCGAAACAAACATGTTATGATCTGCATTCATACAAATGTATATCACGTTCTTGTCAAACATCTTTCTATTTCTTCTATCGCCTATGCCGATCCTATATAGCTTGAGCCATCTCTCATAAGAAACGAAAGTTAAATTGATTTTTAACAAAAACTCACATGCTCGTCTTTCATTGCCTCTTTTTTTTGAAGGGAAAAAATAATCTACGATATTCAAAAATAAATTCGATTCAATGAAGTTTTTTTTTTCTGAATATCGTATCGCAAGTATGGAAACCGCGAAGTATACTTTTTCTTGTGCAGTATATTCAAAAAAAAATATTGAACAGAGAAGAGACGTAGGCGCTTGCCTTTAATATAAAATTAACTTTGTTAATTTTTCGGTCCTTAACACGTGTACACGCCGACACAGTGAAATACACGTTATAGAATCGATATGCATGACAAGAGCAAGAAAAAGACGAGCGAGTGAAGCGCATGTAACAAGGACACTTCGTGTCTAAACTTGGATCATAACAATCTCGTTTCGCTCGGAAGGCATCCTTGAGTTTTGACTCAATTTTTTTTAAACATTTTTCATTACATTTTCTATTGCTTGATTTTTTTTTGGAATAGCGAATTTATTATGCATATATATATATATTTTTTTTTAAATTTAAAGAACAGAACGACAACTTGATGAAGTTAGTATTGCTCTCGTGGGAAAATATACAGCTTTAGAAGATGCTTATGCATCAGTAATCAAAGCACTGAATCATGCAGCACTTTTTTGTAATCGAAAATTAAAAGTTCTTGTAAGATATATTGATTTTGAAAATGTTTCTTTTGCATGCTTATCAATTCTCTTTAGTTTGTCCATGCAACCGATTTGGAAGCAAATACGCAAAAAGATGATCCAGTTAAATATCATGAAGCATGGCAACAATTGTGTAGTGCACAGTAAATACTTAAAATGTTTTTTTAATTTTAAATAGATTTTTCATTCGATTTGTTGTCAATTCAGTGGTGTTCTTGTACCTGGTGGATTCGGTTCACGTGGTATTGAAGGTAAAATAGCAGCTATTGAATGGGCACGTACACAATCGAAACCATTTCTTGGCATTTGTCTTGGTCTTCAATGTGCTGTCATTGAATTTGCAAGACATGTTTTACTATATAAAGATGCTAATTCATCAGAATTTGATAAATGTGAACATCAAGTGGTATGTTTGATAGTTAGTCGTAGTTAATATTCAGTTTTTCTTTTCTTGATGAAATAGGTTGTAGAAATGCCTGAACATAATCCAGGAGTTATGGGAGGTAAATCAATTTATTTCACATAACAAAAAAACAATATTTGGAAGTTATTTTATTTTATAGGAACAATGAGATTAGGACGACGAACAACTCATTTTGTTTCGGATGATAGTATTGTTAGTAAGTATCGTTTTGCCGAATTTTTAAATCTACTCAATCAGTGTAAGTGTATCGGAACGGAGATTATTATTTTTCTATTTTATAGAAAAACTCTATGGAAATGTGGAGTCCATCGATGAACGTCATCGTCATCGTTATGAAGTGAATCCATCGTATATCGATGCATTTGAACAAGGTGGAATGAAATTTGTTGGTCGAAGTGATGATAATGAACGAATGGAAATTCTCGAACTTGAAAGTAAATTTTAGAGAAAACTATTTTAAATTAAATAATCTTCTTTCTTTCGTATAAGATCATCCATATTTTGTCGCTGTACAATATCATCCAGAATATATATCACGTCCATTGAAACCATCTGCTCCCTATCTTGGGCTTATTTGGGTAAAAACGTTTTTTTTTAATCATAATTTTATTGGATTATTCTTCTTTAGGCTGCTTGTGGTGAATTAAAAAATGTTTTAGCACATCTTACAAAACAAAGTTCACCGATTGACATTGCTACGAAATCTCCTGGCCCGTTCTCTCATGTTAATCTCTTTCGTCACACATGAATATGTATTTTTTGTTTTTCCTATATTGTTTAGGATAATCATTACTTAATGATCCTACGTTTGAATGAACATCATTAAAGAAAATACATGATTTTTCTTGCTAGAACCATTATTTTGTACTATCGTCAATAGTATATATGATAATCGATAAAATCATTCTAATACGAAGGGAATTTTATTTTTCAATATATATGTCTTTTGGTATCCACTATGACATTTAAATATACAGTTTTACATTAATTTCAACTCATACTCGATTCTCGAACTCGTTGAGCAATAATTGCGAGAAAAATAGGAATCCTTAAAGGATACATTGTCTGGTTTCTCTAACGGAACTGGCATAAACAGTTTAACTGTACGCAGGGCTCTTATCCAGTTTCGTTCGGCTGAAATAAATAGTTAATTTGAATATCATTATAAAGTTGACTTACAAAGCAGGGGTTGCAGCAGCACTACTTTCCTGATTTTTTAAACTAGCATCCGATGACTGTAATGAATTACTGAAAATAATCAACACGCGACTTCTTTCTCCGCAATAGGCCACCTATCTTTCTTTCAAGTCAATCGTGGATGTTTTTTAACTGATAAATGAAAATGAATTTCACAAATTTCATTTATTTATTATGCATAACTTTAAAATTCAATTTATTTGTAGGACGCTCGAAGTGTTTCTTCAGGTAACCCCAATCCGCATTACGACAGTTGAGTTCGTTAGTATTACGAACAATACAAATGAAAGTGCATTTGCCCGCCATGTTGAATCAACTTTTATAGCCACTTTGGCGAGAAATGGGTATCGTTTGGCATTGATTATGTGAAAATAGTAATTATCAAATGCAGAAAGAATGACTTATCGTTTTTTGCATGTCTACGCTAGTGATCAAATCTTTGTAACGAAATGAATCATAGTCAAAATATCAAATGAGTCACTCGGACAATAACCAAAGCATCGGTCACATAGCGTCAGAAAAGACTGCTGTGTGCATGAACAATGAAACAAGTGAACATACTTGAAATAGGTAACTTAATGACACAACTAGAAATGTATTGACTATTTAACATTCCAGGAGTGAATAACCGTTTTACAGAATAGGGAACGATGGCAGCACAGAAAAACCAGCTTTTTAGTAGCGCGTCTTAGCACCAAATCTTGAAAGATAAGAGATCATTTTTATTCTCCCTATTACTGCATAATTTAGTATGAGCAATGAACAACAAAGATAGACAAAAGAATTGAAAACAAAAGTCTTTAGTTAGATGCGTTTTCCTTGACGGAAAGATGCGTAGAAGTTCAATATTTATGATGAATATTTCCTAACCCTGATTTCGTGATTTATGAGTAAAAATCTTGATTTTGCATACTAGACCGCTGCGACTCCTGCAAAAATAATACTCAATCATATACAATATCCAAACCTAGACGAGCTTCTCTTCTCGCATTCTTGACTTATGCAAACTTCAATATTTGTTCACAGTGCATGATCCAGAACGTTTCACTCAGGTCGGATCGCATCTACGGCTAATCATATTCTTGTCTGTATTGACATCGTTACGAGCTTCATCAATCGTGTTAGTTCTTTCTATCGGTTGTAACTGATTTCAAATCTTGAAGGCAAACATGATAATGTTAAAACTTCAAATCAATATTTAACGATGACTTTGAAAAGACAATTTTCTTATCAAATTGCTTCATAATGGTTAATGTTTATTCATTGATATCTTAAATTGAGTACTTACAAAAAGTAACTTTAAATATTATTAAATAGCAGTGACCTTCGATTCTTCTTTTCTTTTTTTGGCAATAAAATGCTTCAATTTCATTGTATAAAGAATACAGATTTTGATTCAAATAAAAAGCAAATAAAAGTTTTTCTTCTACATCTGAATATAAAGTCTTTTTTAAGTGATGTAAATTCTTATTAGACATTCATTCAAAAAATGATATCATGTTTCATCTCGATACTTATGATCGATTATTGTTGCTTTATTTGGTTTGAAATTCGAACATCAAATACGCACACATGAGTTCTGCCTGTCTATTCGAATAGAAAAACGAAAAAAAGCTGTCCCACATATTTCGATTTATCTATTTTATGCGTTTTTCAGGAACACCACGATAATTGAGTTCATGCTCGATTTGCATTGCAGAACAAGGGCACGTACAGCATGCTGATACACAACAATCTTCTATTAAACTTCCCTAACAAGAAAAACAGTGTTAAACAATATACAAAAAAATTAATAAATCGAAAGTAATGGTTCACTTACTTTAATCTTATAAGTTGCTCGAACTTTTGTTCGCACTGCTGTTAACGAACATGGATTGAGGCAGCATGTCAGCGTATGATCACCGACACGATCAGTTAATTGAGCCGCATAGCACAGAGCACAGAAACATGCGTAAGCCGCTAGAAAAAAAATACAATATCGTATGGATCGATTGATTATCATCACCGTATTACGTACATCGCGGGCAAGGTTTAAATGAGCCGAAAAGAGTGTTTTGCCAACTTTCTTTATAGGGATAAAGATCGCTTGTTGTTGCAGGCTGTCGTGAAACTGGTTGGCTATATATTGAAAGATTTGATAACAATATGAATGGAAAAAAACGAAATGAAATCTACTGTACTTTGTCATAGTTATATGTGTTGATAACTTGATCGCGACGATACAAATGTCTAGTTAACTTTGAATACGACTTCTTTAAATTGACGATAAAGATACAGTGAGTTTTGCCAATAAATAATTGTTGTTAGGAGATGGGGGAGGGAGGGAGGGAGGGAGGGAAGGAGAGAGAGAGAGAGAGAGAGACTTGCAAGCAAATCGTTTAATTACTTCTCTTAAATAACAAATTAATAGGAGAGAGAAAAGCCGAAAAAAAAAGTTTTTATCGTTTGTGTGAACTTGCTTTATTTCATCTATGTTGTACGAAGACTTTCTCTTATTTGATATTAACAAAATAATATCGTCACTATGACAATAATAAAGTAAAAAAAAAAGAAGAAAATCATATAACAACGTAAAGATAAAGCGAAAGAATGATTACATTGACAACCAAAACGTATAAAATTAGTTTAAGATCTATTACAAGACAAAAGCGGCTGCTTCTCTTTGTCTCTTCTCCTTTAATTATAACGATCATTTCGCACAGGTTTACTCTTTTTTGCTGGCTCTTCATCCCACAAGCCTTGATGTTCGAGTTCAAAGGCAATTTGTGTTGCTGCACATGGACCACAAACGCAAGCTGAGCACAAATCGCCGCAACAGAAGCCCTTAAATTATAAAAAAAATTAAAATGACAATTTCATATGTATATATATGATTTTTAATTCTTATCAACAAACATCAATACGTCGTGCTGTTCGTAACTTCGTTCGTAGATAACATAATGTACATGGAAAACAACCAATAATGGCTGCTTCGCCTAAACGACTTGCTAATTTGCAGCCCATGCAACAGAAACAACAGCATGAAAAACAGCCTAAGTATAAATATGTGTACGAATGACAAGCCAAAAAAGCATGCTCTCCTTACATCGACTCATTGGTTTACAACCACATAGTCCTGCTTCCCATTTATTTTCAAATTCCCATACGTTTTGTGAATCATATTGCTGTTTGATTACTGCAGGATGATTACCGTGTTGTGGCTGGTGTTGACTAAAGAAGATTAGAAACAAGAATACAAATTAAACAGTCAACCATGCATTGATTTCTCACTGAGCACGATTCATTGTGTTTTAAATTCTTCTACTTGCAATTCCTATTGAGATCGAATGCAAAATGCGCTTGTTCAATTTACGTTTATTTATACGCGAATGAGAAGAAGAAAAAAGAGAGGTGAAATCAGATGGTTTGAATTGTTCTCAAACAATTATCAAGAACGATTGTACTGTTATTTTATTTATTTTTTGTTTCTTTTCTTTTTCGTTCGGCTCCTGTGAGAACTAAACAGAAACAAATTAATGAAAATAGTTTATATTTTTACTTCTTGGGATTCGGATGGCTTAGAAAAACACACGAGAAAAAAGCACAGAGAGATTCCATTTAACAAACTGGTTCGATTGAAACCGATGATTCGAATATAGCTGAGCGATCAATCAGAGAAAAAAGGTACAAATTTGTCAGGCTTTGTTAGATGGAATCAAAGGAAAAGAAGAATTTTTCTTCTCTATTCTCGTCGTAGGCAGAACAAAAAATTTAAATTGATTGATGATATGATGTATGAAAAGAAAAAAGGATCATGAAACATGAATTGCCGCATTGAAATCTTTTTTTTTTTCAATCGATGTTTATGTTTTCTTATATCCCGACACTTAAATACAACAACAAAATGACGTTGTCATCACAAGTTGGTAACTATATATGATGAGTGTCCTTGAAAATTTAGTTCTTTTTTTTAGTGTTGAAGTGGAATACATAACGAAGGCGTTGTATATTCTCAGCCCTAGGAAATCATGCCATAGACACAGTAGAAAACCTTACACACCACAAAGTGTGTCAATTTGAGAAGATTAAATGACATAGAAACAGCTTTTTCTATGTATTGCACAAAAATGTAAAGGATTTTATATTTCTTCATTTCGTTCGAATGTTGATGAAAAATTAAAGAAAAAGAATCTATACATTCAGCTGAAAAATAGTTTAATATTGGTCAAGTCTCTTGTTTGCTTACGAACGAAATTTGAATTTAATATACATAAATTAAACATCGAATGTTTTTCATATGTGTATGAGTGAACCGTTTCTATCGATTTGTTTAGGCCAATAAAAGAACATCGCATGCAATGTAAAACTCTACATTCACTTTAACCTTTTCAACAAAAAAGAAAACGAAATTCATCATAATCATTCGATTGCCTACAGGAGGTTAGATTTTTCTTTATAAAAAGACTTGGTTTCACTTGAAAAGATACTTCAACCTCCTCCATTATTAACTGCAAATGGCTGAGGTTCCTTCCCGATGAATTTATTGATTTACACACAGTTCCTAAATGCTCATACTTGTCAGTATGCATTCGCACATCATTAAAGATGTCATAGATAAATGAATAACTGTTTCATCGTTATTCGGCTTGGATGCATTTATAAAAATTCTCAAAACAAACAAACAACATGTAATTAAAAAAAAACATACGAAGTTATTCTTCTGTTTATACAAATATGATTTAGAAAAAAAAAACAAATCGAATAGATTACACAAAAATACCGTCATCACGATAGCGATCATCATTACTTAAAATAAAATTTTTATCATCTTTCGAAATTTCTCGATTATATTCATTAACAGCTTTCATTTCCGACCAATTTTGATCCTTAGTTGAGTTTTCATCTTTGATCATTTGATTTTCGAAAACGAGACTATTTTTTTGTTTAAAATCGACTTTTGTATATGTTGAATGGTCACGACGTTTTTCGCGATAATGTTCACGTTCTGGTGAATAATGATCACGTTGACTTGGTTTTATTAATTGTTTATCAAAAAAGTAAAATGATTCTGGCGTGGTAGAAAAATCTAAACTATTCAATTTCGTTGCTGCCTGAAAACTTGAACGACGTTGCATTACAACGGGAAAGTGATTGGAGTCATAATTTGATTCTTTTTTAGAATCATACGGAGTAAATATAGTTCGGTTTCGATTTATTAATAGAGTTTTCGTATTTGACATTGTTCCATCGGGTCGTTCATTCGATGGATCAAGTATATGATCAAGATCAGTTTCTTTGAATGTGCTTCGACAATTTGATGGTGTTTCATCGTCAGATGGACATATAGGCTTAAAGGGAGTATTGTTACGATGTAATTCGGATGATCCAGCAGATATTAAATAATCTTTTGAACGATAGGGACGTACAGGATAGGTTATTCCATTGCCATTCTGTTTGACGTGTACTAGAATTACAAAAATTGATATTCAAATTTTGCCTATTAAAAAAGCATCATGATAAGTAGCTAAACAATTTTAATGCGGGAACGTTTTTTCACAATTACTTTTTATTTCTTTGCCATTGTATACTCTTTAACTTGGCATGCTAACTCATAAATCTCGGGAAAATAAGAGCCGACGAAGCATAACTTTCGCTTGTATTTCCGTAGCGGATGGATGATTCTATTTTTAGTCTCTTCATTATCAAAAACAAAATTAGAATTTCCATTTCAAGGAAAAAATGTAATTCGGTTGAAACCTTCAGTCTTACAGAATACTCAATTAGACATGCTTACGGTCCTTCAGATGTCATTCTAATTAGTAAGAGTGTCAAGGTTCTCCTCTCTTACAGAACGGAACGGAACACATTTTTAATTCGTTTTTATTCAGTTTGAAACAAAATGCGTACTTCATAAAACTTTTTATGGTCTCTTTTGTCAATAGATTACTATGGGTCCCTGGAACGGAATTGACGCTCCCATTGATTAGGTACTTAATAGAAAATTCTTCAGTGAAAATAATTACCTAAACAATCATTACCATTGGCATTGTGATACGAATGATGCGAACTATGATTTCGATATGTTAGATCTAAACACACTAGATTTAGATTTAATTATTAGTTTTCAAAGGATAAAATTTACTGTCAAAATTTTCTTCAGCTTTTCGTTTAAAATTCATTGCTTTACGTATTCTATAACAGGAACAACAAACTAGAACTATTGAAGCAAGACATGCGCCGATAATAAATAAAACCGTAAAAGGCCAATGAATGCCAGTTTTCTCTGCAAATGATTCAGCTAAACGAATGCATTGTATGACTATTTTGTTTATTTAAAACAGAAACACATACGTTTCAATTTTCCAACTTGAATGGAATAACTTCGATCGAAATTTTCTCCAAATTTATTTTTTGTAAATACACGAAAATCATGATGAAATTCAGGTTTAAGATCAGGAAGAATAAATGCACAATTGCCTAACACAAAAACATAATTATAATAAGTAAACATTTGCCATTAAACAAACCTTTCAAACGAGCATGTTCCGAATAAGAACCATCTTGTTGTCGCTTATACATATAACAGAAAAAGTCTTCATCACCTTGATGAAATCCAGCCATACAATTTACAGTTAGTGTTGTATTTAAATATGTATAATGACATGATTCTATTGGATCGGGTACACCTTAAATAGAACAAAAACATTGAGTCGTGGTGCCAACCAGGACGTAGTAGATCTCATGCACTTCTACTACTAAAATGTACTAACAACTATCGCTCATAGAGTACGCCTAATTAAACAAATTTGTTTTTCGTTTAGCTCAACTCGTTGATCGACAAAAGCTAATTCATTATTTGAATTTTCCCATTGGAATCTCATTATGCCAACAACAATGTCATTTGTTGGGGAAAAAAAAACTTTCTTATGATTAATCGTATGTTTATAAATAGAGTAAATAATCGAGTACGAAGAAATAGTTAACTGACCTCCTAAAACCATATTAAAATGACATTCCCCAAATAGACCTAATTCGTTTTGTGCTCGACAAGTAATTTGGCCAAAGTCAGTAATATTAGTTGCTTTTATTGTAATATAATTTGATGTTTTATTTAAATAATTTCCGAAACGTTTATGTCCATTTGGTAGATGCCAAGTGAAATTTATTTTTGCAGGATTGCCATTGTTCATATGACATGTTATATTGATTGGACGACGGATACCTGTTAAAAATTCCGGCAAAGTTGTGGTCTTACGAGAACATATTGGACTGTCTAGAATGTAACAAAAGAAAAAGAACGAGTAATAATACTATTCATATACAAAGTAATCGAGTTATTTTTTTTCTCTATTATGATAATAGATTTATTTGTTGATATAGTACCATACGGATGAATGATATCCGTCAGAAAAAAATGCATGTGCAAGACAATTAAGAAACAGAACTTTGTTGATATTTAACCGATCGTAAATATTATATGATGTTCTTTTATCCTAGTTCAACACCGGATTTGTAAAATAGCATTTTTGTTTCTACCAAAGAAGTATTCTAACCGACGAGATGCACTTCTCTCACTAAGACATTCAATTTCCACATAGAGAGCAAACAAAACAACTGACATTGTTTCAGCTACTTAACCTTATATACACATATAGGGAGAGAGATATTCTCTCTTTAAATGTCAGCAATCAAGCAGAGAAACAATACGAGACATGATAATTCGTTGTTTGCCCTTTTACAACCGTTCTCTAGTTGATTGTTTCCAAAAAGAAAAAAGAAAATAATCAAACTTATCGCATAAAACTAAAAAGCCTACTTACATGGATGAATATCGTAAAACTGTTTAAGTAGGAACAAGAAAGTATTATTAATAGAAACTGTTATAAATAATAGACTGGATTGAGAAAAGAAAAGAGAATATCGTGCCCTTCCTCTTTCTTCTCATCATACACACTGGTGGCAAGAAAAGAAACTATGAAGAGAACTCATCGCATAACTTTTCTTTTTCCTACTAGTAATAGATAGTTCAAAGATGTAGTCGTACACATTCATATACTAGCTAATAACCGAAGCTGCGTCCATATCAAAGAGAAAGGAAGAAATCTTGTGAAGACTGTTGTTGATTAATAACATGTCAGTCTTAATTGGTCACAAAATTGGCCGCCGTCAGCAGATACATGGAGAAAGAAGAATCTCTTCACTCAACATCTGCTAACTACAATTCGTTGACTTTTACAGATAAAAATACCATAATTTAACTCTGTTTATTATCAACAAGTAATACTTAGTAGAAAAATAAGCCTATAGTTTATTTGATAAGAGCACATTACGTTCTTTTTTTATATACAATGTTCTTTTCAGAAAGCAGCTAGTTGCCCTCAAGTTATACTTTCTCTTCGTCTTCCATACACTTGTATTCTATGTGTGTGTTGTGCCATCATCATATGAATATATACGAAGGCAGCCAAGCGAAAAATGAATAGCGATGTAAAGGAAGGAAGAAGAAGAAGAGTGTTGATCAAATTGAATGAGACAAGGGATCGGTCAATGGTCCTGACAAGTAAAATAGAATTAAAACGAAAGACAGAGCGTTGTATAAAATTAATGATGACACCCTTAGAGATATAGAAATTATTTTCTTTGACTTTTAATTGAAATTTTAATGAAACTAATCGGCATATCAAATTTCACACTTACAAGCAACATCCATTTGAAGAATATTGGAAAGAACGCGATGTTGTTCATATTGAGTGTCATTATCATTATTTAATGATTGAGTTGCTTCACAATGAAATATACGTTTATGATAATATCGATTAATACGAAGAATTAAAACAAGTATTGTTCGATATGTATTATCGTCGTTTTCTACTGTAGAATTTCTTTCAATATGATAATCAATGTCAAACGGAAAATGAAGAATTGCAGCTGGTAGAGCTCGTGAGACAACACATGTAAGGCGTATTAATTGATGTTCGCGTAAGTGTATAGATCCATTATGTGATCTCAATGATTGATGTAAGAGATTATGATCAGTTTGATTTGATATATAATCATTTATTGAATCGTGTGATGATATTAATTGAGCACCAATTTCAACAGTTGTGAGTCGAACTAAAGGAGAGTGGAAAAAAGAAAATATATTTCGATTAGGAAATATCTATGAAAGTATTATAATTAATAAATAATGAAAAACTGTGTGAGAAAAAAATGATATTTTGTATCTAATCGAGTACGAATCTACTCTATACCATAGAATAACATATATAATGAGCAATAGGAGAGAAATTTAACAAATGGAAATATAGGATTATGATCTATGTATTGAATGCCAAAGAAACAAAAGCGGACAGAGGGAGAGAAAAAAAATGAATAAAAACGATAGCTACTATTAATTGATTAGTACAATACTAGTACGTAAAGTGAAAGTGAGAGAAAGGAAATGACTAGATGCATACTTATATAGAGAGGGGAGAGCGGAGTATCTGAAACCAGACGCCCGGAAACAATCATACGTTCGCAATAGTTGCAAGACTGAAGATTCATATTCATCATTCATTATTATCTATTGGGACATACGGTTGTAATCGTTCTATAGGATTCGTCTGGTGTGAAAAGAATCAGAGTGAATATGAGCAATGATTAAATTCTATAGTGAATCCGACATATCCTATTATTTAACATAAATGAGCAATGAAGCAAACGATAGACAAAGGGAGTGAAGAAACAAAAAGAATTTATGCAAATACAATTTCATTTAATGAATCAATAATAACAATAGTCAAATTATATCGATTGATATTAATTTAACAAATCTGAAACTTAGACATGTACAAAAATCGCACACACAAACACTTTATGTAACATGGTGTATATTTATCTTAATGTGCTATCAATCATAAAGACATGCGTATATGTTAAGAAAAATAATCGGAAATTATTTCCGAAAAGTGTATAACACGCATCCTTCCCATTCTATTACCATCATATTGATGTAAATGACTTCAGTTGCCTAACACTTCTTCTTATATCTGAACCAGCATGCATCCTTTTACCGAACATTTTTTATATTAATCACATATATACAGTTGCACATTTTTAATATGAACAAGAATTGTTTGTATATATATATATATATATATATAAATATATTAAATAAGATATGTGAAAAAATCTATGACTGATGAAATGATGTTGAGTTAATTTTAGAATAAAATTTTAACAATTACCTAATAAAAATAATTTCGTTTACACATGTGAAAAGAATAAACAAAAAATGATGGAACTCGACATTCTATTGTTAGAATGACTCACGTCTTGGTTTAATTTGTTGACAACAACAATAGTAATAATATTAAACACAAAAGCACTCTAAATTCGCTACTCTACGAATCTGACATATTGATCGAAATCAACAAAATGGTATGTCCGGATGTCAAATTAATTTGTTTATTTGATTAACTTGTCGCTTCAGAAATCCATAGAGAAGAACGTATACGGAACTTATATAAAGATATTAGAAAAAAGAGCAAGTCATGGCATTAGTTAACTATATATCTTCGGGTTCAGTCCAGAGTCTTTTTATTGATAAAAATAACTATGTAAAAGACTCTTGACTGCATCCGGAGATGAAAAATAGATTTCATTGAACTTAATGAAGAAACAAAATCATAATCTACACTACGGTAAGATGTTGAGCTTTCGCCGTTGAAGCTTATAGAATGTTATTATAAGAATTTCTAAGAGAAAAGTAGGAAATAGTATTTATTATATTTATTATTCATTCACTATTAAAAATGTATGGCAAAGAATAAAGTTACTTTTATGGAAGATTCCCTTAAAACAAAAGTTGAAAAGCCGTATAGTACACCCATGTTACTTAATCAATATAGCAATTTTTTGAGTTTTTCAATAAAGATTACTCTATAATTCGAAGTCAAGAAGTAAGCACATAAGTTCATCACTATTTATGACTGTATTGTCTCACAAATAGGCGTTTATTGAAGTCATTTTTCGAGCAAAAAAGCATAGATTGAACAAACGTTTTTGTAAACCTCCTCAAAAATTTCAGGATACAATGAAATTTACTGCATAAAAAATCGCTGATTAATCATAAGCAAAGACTGATGGATGAGAATTCTATTCGTCATGATTATACCAGACAAAAATATTTAAAAATCTATCCCCCTTAAAAAAATACTTTTACTAAAAATCAATAGAACTCTATATAATCCGACCAGGCAGAGACTTCATTTTATTTTTCTTAGCATTGATTGAACTACGAGTATAGTCAACGAAAACAAAAGCCTGAATGGATTCGCTATGTGCCAAACTATTGATTTTGTTTGTTCAAACGCGGGCCTTAGTTGACAAACTCAATCTTAAGGCCTAGTTTAAGATATTGTTGTAATTAAGGCGTTTTATATTCCACTTTGAATACGATAGTTGTAAATAGCGAAATGTGACCATAGATCTAATCGAAGATTTTTTAAATTCATTTTGTTAACTCTTTATGACGAACTATTTAAAAAATGCCTCAGTCCTATGTGGGTCATTTTTCGTTGCTATGAGAAAATATTTATAATCTATCGTTTTTTCCCTTCTCTCGTATTACTATCGGTATTTCACTTGGCAGAGAATTTCAAGTGATATAAATATTATTACGAATGAAAATAGAGGAAACTTACCCATAACGATTAAACTGAATTGTCGAATAGCTCCAAGTGTTTCACATTCATAAACGCCCGAATCATTCGATCGTAATTCGCGAATAGTTAAAGTTTGTAAATTTTCATTATCATTCGTTAGTTTTAAAGATACTTTTGAACGAAACCTTGGTAGAATAACATTAAATCTCGTTGCTAATAAATTTGGCCTCTTCCACCAAGCGACATCCATTAAATCACATTGAAAATTAACATCATCATGTTCAAAACGTTGAATTATTTCAAAACGATGATTATCATCATTGATACTATTAATCATATTTATTTTATAAAAAAATAATAAGAAAATGAAAATAAATAGTTGGTGATATTCAATTGTATACATGTGACGACAATGATACCAGCATAGTCGTCGTTCTATTACTCGAAATAATTATCTAAAATAAGACACAAAAAAATGTATCTTTTGATGTTATTATTATCTTCATTTCTTATGCCTGTTAAAACATTATCGATGCGACAATTAAAATAAAATTCTCTGTTTAATAAACTTGCCTGTATATTTTAGTTGAATTAAAAATACAACATAGAACGCTATAGGTGATTATTTTTGTTAGTTTTGCATTAGCGCCTTTTATGTTTTGTGAAGATAGAGAAAACGCAGCAGGAGTCGCTTAGTAAATGAACGTGTTAGAATGGGACAAAAGAAGATACATACACTTTATGCCTCAAAATGATGAGAGGAGGGTCAGACAGACAACAAAAGAAAAAAGAGGAACAATCAATAGATATAAAATATCAATGGTCTTTCTTTAGCTTTGCTACTAATCATCCACATGTTGTACATATGAAGATGATAGTTTGGTTCTAGAACAAAACACATAATAATCACCTCTGACGCGTGAAGCAATTTTTATCGGCTGTCCATTCATGTTCATTCTTTATATATATATATATATATAAATACACTAGAAACGATTAATCGAATGATTGACTAATTCCCTTTAGTGTGCTGTCTTTTCGTCTCCCCCGGCAGTGAACTCATCATTGTTGTCAAGTTACATTATCAAATGATGTATTCTTCACTATTTCTTCTCTTGAACGCTACTAACACAAGCATATCGATCTCGGCTGTTTTCTTATCGTACAGTAACTGATGATGTCTGTTCAGGATCATCGATAGTATTCTAATCATCAATTTGTCAGATTGAATCCAGAAACAGATCGAAAGGTGAATAATAATAAATCGACAACTGAGCAGTAGCAGTGATGCTAATCTGTTACCATTCGTCTGCTTGTCGATAACAATAGTTAGATAAATCATTCCAACACAGCGGGGGGAAAAGAGCAAATTGAGACGACTTGTCTTGCGTGTGAGAAAACAATTATCGCTCGATACATATATGTGCGCACTTGGATTATGCATAACATAAATCGAACAAGAAATACTTAAGAAAATTCTAATCTTAATTAAATCATGAGATTCCTATAATATCTTTCTTTTTTCTAAACGAAGTATATGTTGCTCATAGAACGTGTCGCTTTTTTTCTCGAAAGATTACGAAACTTATTATCGTCATCAATAATACTAAGCGATAGGAAATATGAAACCTACTGTAATCAATTCTTTCTAAGACCTATATCACTTACCTGCGAAAAAAAAACAATTATATTAGACAGAATGCCAATTGATTGAAGTACAAATAGTTTGATCAATGCGAATGCTCAAGAGATTTTCTTTTGCTTCTATTTCTTTTTTTTTGTGTTCTCCTGCTCTCTGTCCGTCGTCCTCCCTCCTTCCGTCCCTCGTTCTCCTTTTCCTAAGGGAATAAATCATTGTGAGACAATAGCCGATGATCTGAATAAGCACGTTCATTGCGACTAGTCATCGGCTAGGGATAAAACAAAAAAAGAGGCAAAGCAAATAAGCAATAGAATAAATGAGGTCATCTTCAGACAGGTGCTTGACAAGCTGATAAAAGAGAACGACAAAAAAGATTTTTTTTCCGGGAAATGACTAATCGATTTACCTCATAGATGATCGTTTTTCTTTTTTCCTGATCAATGTAGACAAATTCAATTTTCTATCCATAGAGTACTTAGCATTTTAATTAAACGTCGAGTATCCTCTTTTTGATTTCATTTCCATCTAGTTTTTTCTTCTTCTATATACACGTATATTGTCAATAAAGATAAAAATCTCGATTATTGAATCGGTGAATTTTCTCTATTGTAATTGTTTATTCAACTAATCGGAAACCTGTTACTCTGATTAAAAAAAAAGAACAGAAAAGCGTTTACACTTGTTTCCTCTTGATAGATATATCTATTGGAAAAATAAGCTCACTAATTGGACAAATACAAAATTCATATTTTATAACAAGTACCTATTTATTGTTTATTTCAGTCGATTTCCATTGAACATTTGAGTACGGAATAGTAAGCAAACAAATCGTTAGCGGTCGCGTGCTTGTTAATAAAGACAAATGACATGCAAGAAGTAAACACATCTGTCTATGTTGAGTACCGTATGAATGAACAGTAAAATGGGAGATTATTGAAATTCTTGACTTTGCTCGAATCATTTGACAAAAAGACATGAAACAAACATATACGCTAAGAGAGAAAAGAAAAATTGCGTTTCATAACGTTTTGTTTCAGTAGACGATTAGTTTTTGTAATTAGAAAGAAAAGTATTTAGAAAGAAAGAAATACTTGAAATTCTAGTTTTGGTCAACCTTGGCATAGAACGCTTCACTTACTTTACTTCGTCGCATCACCATCATGATTATTATTATTATATAAGTTTATTTGAGCCTTGAACAGGTATCTAGAGAGGAAGAAAAAAAAAAGAAACACAAAACTCTGATTACACGTATATTTCCTTGTGCTCGCTGTCTCTCTCCATCTCTTTTTGCAGTAATCGAGATCTATTTCATGTCTGAATCACATCATACACACCTAATATTCTTCGTTTGGTTTCCGATTAAAAATTAACTCTATGTGTTCTTCGTGCTCGTTCATGTACACACATTGTGAATGCTATGGCATACAGAGTTAATTATACGGACATTTTCTTCTTCTCATGATCATCATACGTGTAGAATAGAATAGGTAAAAGCAACAAAAAGAAAGACAGAAAGAAAACACGGGTTTCTCATCTTAAACAATGATGATTATTTTGCTTTTATGATAGAATGAATATAAAATCAATGGCAACAGGTTATATACTATTAAAAAATAACGACGATAACCCGAGGTTACAAGAATCAATTGACAATGATATTAGGGTTAGCGGATAAATAAGTTTTTGTTTGTAAGAAGTACTCTCATAATAACAATCATTTCATTTCTTGAAGACGTATAATAATATAGAAGACAATCAAACACTGATTAAGGATCGTACTGTGAAATATGATTTTGTCGAAGACGTAAATAGAAAAGAAACAGAAGTGGTGAACACTTTTCTTTGTCGAATCGTTTATTCAGTAATAAAACTTATTTTTAGTGATTGATACAAAAAAAAAATTTTAAAAAATCGTACTGTGTGGTTCATAATGGTAACAGTTAAAGTAATGATTGGCGGTTCTCAGACAAGAAAGAAAAACCACTACGTTGATGTGTGTTCTTGAGACCTATTGATGGCCTATTGAATTGTTCTTTATTAGCTTTCTTTTATAGAAATCTTTTCCGACAGCTTTTCTCCGTCGTTAGAAAACAAAACATATTTGTTGAAAATTGATGTCAAGTATTATTTGTATACAGTTTTAAAAATCAAAATAAAGAAAAGCGTGAAGACTAAATTCATCAATTGAAAGGAAGAAAGAAAAAAATTGATGACGCAACATCGCTACATCGAATAATATTGCGTCAAGAGACTTCATTAGAACATTTTCTATGTACGAATTTCCGTGTTTGATTAAATATAAGTACAAAAACCAACATCGATTGAATAGGAGAAGAAAACAAAGGAAGAAGCATTGTCTTTTATTTTCCGTAATATTTAATCAATTTTAGCCTGTTGATTTATTGCTGTCTAGTTTTTGTTACTCGAAATAATTATGAATAGATGAAGAAGAAAAACGTTCTTCTCTCTAAGGTATGACAATGATATTCACAATACGAAGGTTTTGTTCAATCATCAATAGTTTTAATTGAAAATGCTCGTCTATTTGGTCAGACAATCGTCGTTCATTTCTGCCATGAAATCGTTAAATAATTGCATCCTCAAATTGGAAACCTTGTTCAACTATAAATGAAGTCAAAGAAGAAGAAGAAGAAGAAGAAGAAGAAGAAGAAAAAGAAATTAACGATATAAAATAAGCGTTTGATTAACAATATCATATTAAAACCTTGGACTTTATTGATAGTTTTAGTTTTCTTCTCTTTTTACAAATTTGACGTCTGTTACGCATTCGTTTATTATTGATTAACTCATTTCTATGTATCGACAAGGTATTGTGTCATTTAAAAGCAGTTATGCAAATAGACAGCATAATAAGCGTGAAAACCCCTGCTAGAAATATGGACGTGGAGAAGCAATAAATTGATGTTTCGCTTTATAACGAATCGAAAGGACGGTGTCGTCTTTATGCTTCTTTGATAATTTCTCATCTTTGTGTCCATGATCGCGGTGTCAAATGTTTGATTGTACGTAATGATGCTTGTCGCATTAAAAGAGTCAACCGATCTAATATTGAACTGTGATAGTGAAAAAAAGAAAATCTTTTTTTTTTAATGTTCACATCGATGATAGTTTTGATATATGAACGAAAGAAAAAAGAGAAGAAAAGGAAGGCAGGAAAGGGAGAGAGATAAATGTATATGAGGCGTGAACTGTTATCGAAATACCTTTGTACATATCTAAGGGTGAAGGCAGAAGAGTATGTCCTTGCCCTATCTGGTTTGCTTGACTGATTTCAATGAAACTATTTAAAATGACAACGATGTAAGTTTCATGCTTGTGTTTCTTACAAGATTGACATTCATTCGTATCATTATGGCTGATGAAATATTTAACCAAGCTGGTACCAAATTTTTCTCACGTTTTTTTCGTAAAAAGAAAACGATTTCTTTTGTTTTCTTTCTAACTAGATATTAATAAAGATCAACGACTTGATTTCAATGAATTTCGCAATCTTCTTGCTCAAAATCTAGGATTTGGAGGAGCGATTTTTGCTAACAATGTTGTTGATGGAGGTCAATATGCAACAGGTTCCTACGAATCTGGATCGACGTCAGGTGCCTACGGCGATTTAAATGCCAATGCTGCTGGATATGGTGGCAGTGTAGCAACAACGACGAACATTACCGGAGCTAATAATGCAGTCGGTGGTAATGCAAGTTATAGTTCTTATGAACAATCATCTTACTCATCGCCAGCAGGTGGCGGTGTTTCAGGTGGATTTGATGCAACTGCAACAACTGAGGCTGATGCAACAAATGCAGTTGCCGAAGCGTCATCATCATCAACATTTGAAGCAACGAGTAGTCAACAACAAATTCAACAATATGCTACTAGTCCTCAAGGACTTTTTCAAGATCCTAATCCACAAATTATCAGGCGTCCAGCACAAACTGGCCAAGTAACTTATACACAGAACGTTAAGATTCGTTTTCTTCAACCTCCACCTATTCCACCACCAGGCGTAAGCGGGCGTTTTCCCGACTGCATCATTTTTATAACTTCACTAATTTTTTTGGAATGATTTCAGCCATTGATCATCAAAGAAGTTCGTCCACCTCAACCACCACCACCACCACCATTGGTGGTACGCCAACGAGCTCCACCACTGCCTACACCACCACCACTGATACTTCGCGAACGCCCACCTCCAATTCCAGCTGCTGTTGGTGCTCAAACTGGTAAAACATCATAGATCAATAAAGTTTGTACTGATGAAATTGTTTTTCTTTCGTATAGTTATTCGAAAATTACCAGCTCTTCCTATTCCACCACGTTCAGTTATCATCGAACGATTACCACCGCTTCCACCAAAGCCACGTAAGATTTCTAATCTTGCTATTTTAAATTCATTTAATGAAACTTTTCGAAACTAGGCGATATTATCATTGAACGTTGGATTCCCTATGGAGCCATGAGTCAAAGAAAAACAATTGTTCAACGTGCTGAAGCTGTTAAACCCTATCCAAAACCACGTAATATTATCATTCAATACGAAGCACCACAAGTACGTGTTGTTCGACAATTTCAACGTCTTGGTATTGCTCCCGAAAATCCACAAGAATATATTCAACGTTATGGTGCATCGCTTATTGATGCGCACTCTTTACTTCAACAAGCGCGTGCTGCTGGTGTTATTGAAGATATTGTAAATTTTAAAAAAGAAACACTAGATTCATATTTGTCATCCTATGAATTATCAATTGTTGTTTGTTTTAGTCACCGCCAGGAAATGTCGCTGCAACAGGAAGTTCATCGTCGTTCAATGCTGAGTTTGCAAATACAACTGCAGGTGTTGAAACAACTGTGGGAGGAGGTGCTGGTGGTGCTGTTTCATCATCATCATTTGAATCATCAAATTTTGGTGGTCAACAAGGTGATGCTGCTTTTTCAGGTTATGAATCAGGTCACGGCGGTAGCACTGGAGATTTAGCATCAGGGTACGAATCAGCTTCATTTTCGACGCAAGGTGTTAGTACATTTGGTGATGTCGACACATCAGGCGGCTATCAAACATACAATGTTTCAAATGGTAGCAATATGGATCTAACTAATATTGCATTTAAAAATGCTGACTTAAATAAAGATGGAAGTCTTGATGTTAATGAATTTCGTCAATTCATTAATGCTCGATCTCAGTATGTATAATGATTACAATGATTTTATAATCGAACGATAAATCTATTTTTAATTTAGATAAATTATTTTGTTATAAAACAAGTATTGACTGATTTGATGAATTTGAAGGAGAGAAAGAAAAAGAAAGAATTTGCATTCACATATAACCTTGTTATAAGAACAAGGGCTAGTATAACTTCGTTTTTTTTTATGTCATATGATTCATGTTCTTCCTGTTTTCGTTACCGTGTTCTCTTTGATCATATCGCTCACATGAATTTTTTTTCTCTATTTTTTTGCTTGATCGTACATCTACATACATGTAAAGATAATATATTACATTAGTTTGTGTTGCACCTTTTTTTTTCATTTCCTTCAATAAAAAAAAGGGGCCATACTGATTATGATCATGATGTATATGTGATTTTTATTTTGTTTTTTGAAAACAAATTTTATTCCTTGTTTAATATCGATATGTAAAAGACATATATAATATGAAAAAAATTGCGAAATTAAAAAACGAAGCGTTTCGGTATAGGGTTAGTGGCTTGTAAGACTATATCACTAGTTATTAATGAATATAATATAATTAGAAGAAAACGTAGAGTTATTTGAATTTTTCATTAAAAACCAGCATTGTGAAATTCAAGCGGAGATAAAACACCGTCGTTATTAGTATCAACCGCTTTAAAAAGGTTATTTATGCCAACAAGACCACGGTCTGTTCCAGAGACATTACCACCGCCGGAATAGGATGTTTCATAGAATGACGCGCTACTACCACCACCACTACCACCACCACCAGTAACACCGCCTAGTTCAAGTCCATTGAGAGTAGTAGTATCAAGAATTTGACCACCTGCCGATGACGAAGACGAAAATCCAGATGTACTGACAGCACTTGCATTTGCTACAGCTGGTACCGACTAATAAACATATGAACAGAGAGAGAGAGAGAGAGAGAGAGAGATGTATGATGCTATACATTTTAATAGCTTACTATATCTTCAACAACACCGGCTGCACGTACTTGTTGAAGTAATGAAGGAGTATCGAAAAGTGTTGCACCATAACGCCGAATGTATTCTTCAGGATTTTCGAGTGTAACACCAAAACGTTGAAATTGTCGAATCACACGTACTTGTGGTGACTCGTATTGAAGGATAATATTGCGTGGTTTTTGATATGCTTTAGCGGCTTCAGCACGCTGAACAATCGTTTTTCTTTGAGCCATTGGCCCATATGGAAGCCAACGTTCAATGATAATATCACCTAATTTCCAAAAAAAAATCATTATAAGAATGTTAAATAGCAAGATTAGAAATTTTACGTGGTTTTGGTGGTGCAGGAGGTATGCGTTCGATAACAACTGATCGTGGTGGAAGTGGAATTGGAGGTAAATTTCGAACAACTAAATAAAAAATTCAATTAATGGAATTCAGCTTCATCTGTCTGTTTTTCCTACCAGTTTGTGATGCAACAGACGCTGGTTTGAGTGGTGGTCGCTCACGTAGAATCATGGGTGGTTGTTGAGGTAGGGGTGGAGCTTGTTGACGAATACGAAGTGGTGCCGGTGCCGGTGGTTGAGGTGGACGAACTTCTTTGATGATCAATGGCTGAAATCATTCGGAAACAAAAAAAAACAAAGTTATAAAAATGATATAATGTGAAAATGGCGGCATACGCCTGGTGGTGGAGGAGCTGGTGGTTGAAAAAATCGAACTTTAATATTTTGTGAATAATTTATTGGTCCATTTTGTGCTGGACGTCGTATAACTTGTGGATTTGAATCTTTGAAATTTCCTTGAGCATCAGTTTCATATTGATGAACAACACTCGATGATTGCGATGCAGACGAAGCACCAAATAAAGCTGCATCACCACCCGAAATTGTGCCAACATTTGTAAGATTAAGATTTGTTGCCTCGCCACCAATAGATGATTGATATGCTGATGAACCATAATTCGTACCAACGAAGTCACCTCCAGCATAGTTGATATCACCGTTCACACTGTTGCTGCTTGTGCCTGTTTCGTACATGGTTGATCGATATGCTGATGAACCATAGGGGGGACTGCCAGTTCTTGAATTATTAAAATCACTACCGACAGAGAGATTACCAACATCGATATTCGCTCCAGAATTTCGTGATAAAAAACTTCGAAATTCATTTTCGGACAAGAATCCATCGCCGTTAACGTCTGCTTCGTTGAATAAAACGTCGTTAGTTGCCATTTGGAATATTGCTCTTAGGAAAATACAGCTAACGATGTACTAATGATGAAGTATTGTATGTAGTATATAACATTAATCGGAACTCATTTATATATCCATACATATTTACCGAGAATCAGTCAACCAAGTCGATCTTTATTGCTTCTCTCATCTTTACTTTCGCCATTAAGACTACTTGCTAATGATTAGTAACAAAATATTGGTCTCGCTTCTCTCCTCTTGTACATAATGCAGGTCTCTTTCTCTCTCTCTCTCTCTCTTATTTTTACAGCAATTTTCATATACGTATAACTTATTTTTGTATCTGTTTTTTTTTGTAATTTGCATTTACAGATGTGCATTTCGAGAAAAGAGTGTGATCATATCTTTTTATGTGAAGTCATAATAATAAAACCGCCAACGTTGTTCGATAAATTTTTTTTAATATTGAGATTCGATTGCTCAATATCGAAGAGGAGTTATAATGAAGTAACATATTTTTCATTCTTGATCGAAAAACATATTTTGATAAGAAATACTCTCAAGTCCAGAACAGGATTTTCATGCCGCCGGAATGAAATTTCATGCATATATAATGGGAGTGTTTTGTTACGTGTGTAAGAAAATTTTCAGCCTCGTATTTCTCTGTACATCTTGCTATTATAAAAATAATTTGGTTTATGCATACCTTTCATTTTTGTGGTCTGCCTTAATTTCCAACTACAATAACTGAAATATCATATTTTTTCTTCTTTTTCTTACACTGGTGACCTTTTTTCCTATTTTAGCTATCGCGCATACACGAAGTAGAAAATTGTCACTATACTTAAGAGATTTCATGAAAATCTTCAACAGAGAAGAAGAACATAATTTTCTATTAACACGATAGGTAGAATGTCAGACTCTAAAGCTAAAATAAGACATTTGGCTGAATAATCTAATGTGTAAGACAAGTTTTTGAAATATTTTCAGCACATTCATTAAATGTAAATTGATAAAAACATTGGCATATGGCATATTAGCTAACATTTCTCATAAAAAGTGATCAAATGGTGTTTAATGGAACACATTAAAATTAATATATCATCATGGATTGGTTATTTTGAATTCATCAAAACGATCCTTGGAACTTTTGTCGCTCTGTTTTGAAGAACTTGTCGGCTGAACGAATATAACATAACTTTAGAAGTACTTCGTCTATCGATAGAGAGAATCAAATTCAGTGTGACTTGAAGTTGAAGCGACACCCTATGTCATTGGTTGAATATCTACCAATCAGGAAAAAACAAATCCTCTTCTCTTCTCTTGTTAAAATGAACTCGTTTATTATTTGGTTTTGTTACTTTTTATGAAAAGAAAGCGTTGAGTGGATTTGTCAAAATCGGGTTTAAAGATTAAGTTGATTATATAGAATGAATGTTTAGAAGATGTTCTTTCAAATGGTTATTTTAGATAATAAATTAAAACAAGATTTCTTCTAAGCAATAGACATGATTACTGACGTGCAATTGGCTATTTTTGCAAATATCTTAAATGTTTTGGTATTTTTACTGATTATTCTTTATCATTATATTAATTCATCTAATATTAAAGCTAAAAAGCAAAGTTAATTGTAAGAATCACATTTTTCTGCTTTTGACAAGATTTTGAAAAAAATGCATCTTTTGTAGATTATTCGTTGTTGGTCATTCCATCTTATTCAATATGAATAAACTATTGATTTTTTAGCTAGTGTTTATTGAACTTATCTTAAAACATTTAAAAAAATTATGCTGAAATAAAAATACAATGTATCATCATATATTTGTGTATAATGCGTACATTGAATAACACAGATTATTTAATTTTAAGCTAATAGAAATATTCAACATTTTAATGAGATTTGTCAACAACGAGACTTCCTTATTCCGGAGAACCGAAGAGCCACCGGGAACAAACTAAAGTAGTCTGGCTGGGGAAGTCATCGTTTTAGAAAGGTATTTATAAAAGGAATTATTAATTTATACAATATGATTCCGTCGATATTTTCTATTATGAAGTTTTTATATAAAACAATATCACCGAGAAAGAAAAGCAAAACGATATCAGATCACGGGTATACGATAGTTTCGATGAATACGAAGTTGTCACTGATAAAATTGTTGTATTTGTTTGTGCAGCCATTGTAAGAATACTATAACTAAAACTAGCATTAACTGTATAAGTTGTTAGCGGTTGTAGACCAGTAAATTGGTAGGATTGAATAGTGTACGTCGTATTCTGCGTAGAACCTGTACTCGCGCCTATTTGACCATTGTTAATCAATTGTGCCTTAATGGAATTCAATGAATAAGGTAAATCGATTGGCCAAAAATATGAAATAGTAAACGAATTCGACGAAATACTGCTCGCAAGAACAGTTACGGAAGATGGCCCGGGGCATGCTGCATTTGAACGTAGACATGTTCGCGTTAAAGTGCAAATATTTACAATCGAGAGAAATACGCTAACATTTGTTACTGTTGAATTCGATGAAAAGCAAACATAATAATAAGCATTAACTAAGTCGAAATTTTTCGTTAAACTAGTTATTGTTTTATTTGCCGATGTAAATGTATAATTGTTGGATGCGTATGTTGCATTATAAGAATAGAAAAATTCATAAAAGACGATATAAATTCTTATGAGATCAGATTGATCAATCGATGTAGCAGCGAATGCCCAATTTACAGTTAAAGCTGTAGAATTGATCGGAATAATAGATATCAATTTTGGTTGAGTTATAGATGGGCCGGTTTGACAGTTACATAATGGCCCGATTGAAAGAGAAAGAACAAGAATACATAAGAAATACAACCCACTATCCATTTATATCGTTGGTACCACTGTATATATCTAAACATTCAAATCAATTTATAGGTGCCACATATGCTTTTTTTTCTATTGACATGCAATTATTATAATAGTGGCTATTAGATACATGTCTTTCTTGTTACGTCCGGAATTTGATTTATTGGAAATTCGTTTTTTCTTCGGTTGCAGAGAATTTTGGAGCTCAGAAATCTGCGTAGGTTAAATTCATGACGAGTTTGTTTTTCGAATAGTTTATGAAATGATATTTGCTATCAAGGATAATTTTTCTAATTGACCTTTCAAGTCAGAAAATGAAATTTTTCGCGGCTTATCTACTTCAAATTGCTCGACAGTTGTTTATAGCAAAACGAGATCCTACCTGTCAACTAATTGAATGAGAATAATTTGATCAACGATAGTCTTGTTTTGTCAAGTGCTTCATTACAGTTGCAGGGAGCGTGATGTTGTGCGTCCTGTTCCATATATATTTTATTGGCAGAAGCAATAAAAAGAACGAGTAAAAACGAACGATTGAAAATGGTGGTTTCTTTTTCTCATGGAAGCGACAACTGGTGTTGTGCTACGTGCTCGGTTTCTTTACTTTTCATGCAAAACATAAAAAATAATTTTCTCTTTGAAAAAAACACAGCGATTACAAGGCCAAATAAAATTTTCGGTGGATTAGCAATTATTCATCGGGAAAAAGATGATGTGACCTTACACATGTAAATCATTGATTATTCGGAACGACGAGAAAATGTTTTGTGTTGATAAGAAACTTCATTAGTCTTGCACATAAATAAAAACAAAACCAGAGTCGATATACTTGAATGACGAAAATTTCTAGGCTTATTACTTTGTCTGAAACCATAGAGGAAATTTCATTCAAGGTTATAAGAATAGTTTATGTGTTAAATTCTCAGTAGGACTTTCGCCTCTTCACGGCAAATATTCAAACTTGAAATTCATTGATTTGAATATGTTAAATTCTTTTCGGAAGTCAGGCGTCTGAGATGAATTTTTCTAATCTCATGATCTTCTATTTAACCTTAAAAGCAAATATCTTGAATTTTTCATGCTACTGTATAATCAGTTTTTTATCACTATTTTAACTTATTACACAAGCTCAATTCGACTGCAATGATTTCGTTTCGTAAGACAAGTCTATCAAAAACGTTTAATTATATAAATCGATTCGTCTATGGCCACATTGTAAACAAATATGATATACTGATATGGTGTGAAATACAAATAGATTATTGAGAACAATATAAAAAATAAAAAAATATATATATATATATATATATATCGTACTTCATCATAATGCACTGTGAGATGTGTTTCACTAAGACTAACAAAATGTCTGGCAGACGCAGAAAAATATCGATTCGTTTTTTGAACTATAACAACCACAACATTTTTCTTCTTTCGAATAAATCCATCTTGAATTATTCTATAACAATAAATATTCTATCTTGTTTGCGGTTTTCGCCTTTGGCTCGTTTATGAAAGATGTCACTAATTATATTGTTCATCTCGTTAGCTCCAAATATTATCGAAGCAATAAAGCCCGGAATGATTCTATAGTTCAGTTTATTTGAGATCAAATTTCTGTGTCCCTCCTCTCTCTCTCTCTCACTCACTTTGCCTTTTCTTTCTGTTCTTGCTTGAAGCATTGTTTATTTTTGTATAGAATACGTTACAAAAGAATAGTTACTCTTATATACTTTTATACCTTCGAACGGTTTTTTCTTCTCTTGCATTACAATAATCTTTCTTTCTCTCTCTCTCTCTCTCTTCGTTATACCATAAAAAGTTCAATATATATTTCTCTCGCTCTTACAGATAATCGTCTATATGCATCTTGATACGAACATGAAGTAAAGAACAACATGTTTCTTGTTGATTAATCAATATAATCTAAATATTCTTCTAGTGAACAATCACCTTTATATACATGTAAAGCTCATATATTTCAAGTTGATCCTGATACACGAAAATCTTGGATTCCGTTATCGATTGGTTCTGGTATGAAGGCCGAAAAACGATTGAAAAAAATATTTTTACCGTCGGCCGCTTTTGATTTCTCTATTTTTTTATATAGTCAATGTGCAAATATTTCACGATTCAGTTAAAAATGTTTATCGAATTTTATCTGTTGATGGTCCAAAAGTACTTATCAATACGGTTATTACTTCTCGTATGAGCTTTACAAAGACATCACAAAAATTTTGTCAATGGGTTGATTCACGAGCAAATCATGTTTACGGCTTAGGCTTTGCGCATGAAAATGATCTTACACGAGTAGATTGAAGAAATCTTTGATTTGGGTTTTTTTAAATTTTTTTAAAACAAAATTTTTAGTTCATGGATAAATTTATTGAAGTAAAAGAAGCAGCAAGAAATGCACTTCGAAGTAGTAGCGTCGATGCTCGACAAACCGCTCGCGTAAGAATCTCTTTTGTATTAATAACAAAAAACAAAAAAAAAGCGTTAAAACGATTTTTCATTTTGATAAGTCCGAATCCGATTGGTCAATACAATCGAATCGAACAGATCCAACCATACAATTAAAACAAGAAAATGCTCATCTGAAATTTGCTCTCGCACAAAGGTAAATCATGTTTTTGATTGTAAATCTATATGAAATTATTTTCTAGTTCGACGAATTCAAAAAAATGGCAAGAAGAATTAGATCTTCTACGTAATAATAATGCAAAACTAACAACCGCACTACACGAAAGTCATGCCAATGTCGAAGAATGGAAACGACAATTACAGTTTTATCGTGATGAATGTTCTCGTCTGAGGCAAATGGTAAGAATTTCAATATCGAATAATTACCATTGACAAAATTCTGCTTTGAATTTTATTTTCTCTATAATCTATCAGCCATTATAACATGTGTCATAAAGCTGAAGCGTATTTAAATCCGCTTGTTATTAACTTTCGTGTACCAGTCGAGACATCGAATCATTTTTTGAGTTGTTCAATTAATCCTCCTAAGTCCGGATTACTTCTATATATGTGTGAATAGTTTAACCGTAGAATCATTTTTGCATCAAGTTACTGTTTCCGCTAATTAATATCCAACGAAAGGCTTCACTGGATGGCGTAACATATTGATCATAAATAACAACTAAAGTTCAAAGAATAAGAGATTCGTTTTTTTACTTCTAATATAAATTAAGAGAAAATCATATTTTTTCTCTGTTCTGTGTTTTTGTACGCATGAGCACATATAACTTCAATAATACAGTGGGTACTTATTTAAGATACGGATACATAATAAGCACTCAGACAATGATTGAAGTTATATGTATTCATGCGATACAAAAAAAAACATGATTTTCTCATGTTGTATATGGCAATTGAATATTTTCTTTTTCCTTGAAATTAAATAATTAAGAATCAATCAGTGGTAAGAATAACTTATAGGGAAAGTTAAAATTTTAGGTTTCTAGTCGTCATTCACCGGGCGGTGGACAAGTGAATGAAGCACACGAATTCAAAAATCTTCTCGATTCTGCCGATCGACGTAATAAAGAACAAGAACAAGTATGACATTTCATTTATCGTTACCATTGAACAGTTTTGTCTCATCTCTAGAAAATTGTTCAACTTGAAAATCAAGTTCAACGTTATATATCTCAAACCAATTCTTTACAAGATCGTTTAGCTGTATATTAAACATTTTAATTAGCACTCGTTTAAATTTTTTCTATTATTACAGGAAACTGAGACCAACAATCAAAATCTTCGTAATGAACTACAGCGACGTACTCCAAAAGATTCCTATTCAAATCGAACACTTCGTCGTTCTCCACCAAATCGAAATCATCAACAGTTAATGCGTCTTTGCGATCTATTCGAATCAAAATCAAATGATTTCAATCAAACAGTGAATGCTAAAACTCAAGATTTACAACGATTATGTTCACAAATAACTCAAAATCTAGTAGAAATGTAATTCAATTATTTTCTTTTTTGATAAAAAAATAATGAGAATTGTAAATGTTTTCATAATCCTGAGTTTTGTGATAAAAAAAGAGTTCCGATTCATACAGTTCATTTTATATGTACATGTATCTGTTTTTGTTTTCTCCGTAGTTTGATAGTATTCTATAAATAGTTAGAAGAACCTGTAAAATAAATAGATCGTTTGTTTTTCTCGTTTCACTAAATGAACGAATATTCTCCGAATTTTTTTTTCTAAAACGAAAAATGCCTTTGGCAACAAACACATGAAATGAAAAATGTTGCCATTATACGTTGCCTTTCTTTTAGAAAGTTAAACTGTCGCTATACTTTTGAGTAGATTGACGTCACATTTCGTCTATTTACATTAGAATCTCAAAATATTGATCAACACGTCCGTCTTATGAAAGATTTATTAACTCGCGGAGAATCACTTTTCTCAGTAAGATTTCAAATCATGACTTTCAAGATAGATATGCTTAATGTTTCTATTGTAAGAATATTTTCTTGTAAGTTTTCGTCGAGATTAAATGTCTAGAAAATTTATTATTCTAACGGTCGATTACAAACACTTAAAGATGTATAGGAAGAAATCATCGGAGATTATCGTGTAGCATCAAAATTATTCTATTATCGTGATAAATTATGTTCTATCAGCAACAAAATTGACAGCATATTCCCACCATTAAGTAAAACAGATGATATTCAAGATTAAATTTAATGCATATATTGTAATCCTAATCACATTAAAAGCTAAAATAATATTTAAACGGGATAGAATGTCTTCAAACGTTATACAATGCTTCCGTGAGAAAAAAAAGTGACTACTTGACAAATACGTCTCAAGATCATATATATATTGTATCGAAAATTACTTTAATATGTTCACTCCGTCGTATTCCAATTGTGTGTGTGCGTGTGACTTACAAATGACGATTTTTCATTTCATACTGTCATAAACGAAAAGAAAAAAGAACAATCAAATCTTGGTGTGTTCTATTAGAATAATAAAAAAACACGATACCTTATCAATTTTAGCACACAATCGCTACTGTGTGATTGATTTTAACTAGATATGAACTGAGCACCTTGTTCTTTATTTTAAATGAATCATGTTTAATCTAATCAAACAGAAAAAAAACGCTGGAATAATCATAAGAAAAGTTCATCAATGCTATTTTTTGGCTTTCAATCGTTTATTTCTTGCGATCATAATTGTAAAAAATACCGATGGTAAAAATCGTCGTAACCAAATTGCTAAATATTGTTGAAACGGTGCAATAATAACATCGTGTTCTCTATATTCAATAGCGTTAACAATTCGTTCAGCAACATAATCAGGTTCATAGGCCGATGATTTATTGTCGTCAGGTAATTTCTCATCTTTATTGTTCAGTCGATTTAGTGCCTGTTGACCAAGTTCAGTCCGAATATACGATGGACTAATTACACAAACATTTATATTCTGTTTTGGATATTGTTCTCCCAGTTCCATTCTTAACGAATCACTAAATGCTTGTACGGCATGTTTCGATGCTGAATATGAACTACGATCTGGCACAGCAATAAGACCTTGCATACTCGATATATTAACAATTGATGAGCCTTTTTGTTTTTTTTCAATCATTTTTGTTAGAACTAATTTTGTTAATGCGACAAGCGACATATAATTCAAACGAAATATATCATTAACAACATCCATGGAGGTATCGAGCGCGGACGAACGTTGGCTGATACCAGCATTATTAATTAAGCAGTCGATTGGCTCGTGTTCAAGTATATTCATTAATGTTGATGAGGAAAATTGCTCGTAATTAGATAAATCTATTTGAACGAGCTTTGGTTGTGGATAGGAAGGATGTAAGTTAATAAGTTCATTTCGTAGATTTTCGAGACGATCTATTCGTCTTGCTAATAGAATTAATTGACATTGTTTATTGAAAAGATGTCTTGCTAATGCTTCGCCGAGACCTGATGAAGCACCAGTAATTAAAACTGTCTTTCCGTTGATGCTAATACGTTTTCGAAATAATAATCGAATAAGCAATAATGAACAGCAGCCAACTGAAACAGCTATTAAACCGATCATCTACAACAATTAGTTCTTTTTTTACTAAAATTTTTATAAATTAACAAACTGAAAAAAATTGTTTATTTAAGAACGAAAAAATATCATTTAGGTTATTCTTGAATGAAAAATCAATTCAACGTATCGATGTTCAATACGACTAGAAAGTTTATTATATTCGTTTGTAGTCCCAAAAAAATCAGTTGTTCTCCAGTATTACAATAATTCTAATTTTTCATAGTCGTGATATATCCATAAAATTCTTTATCAGACTAGACTGTCAGCAGTACCTTCTCTACACGCCCGATCAAGTTTTTTAGTAAAAACCATCGAAAAGCAATATTTGAGCTGTAGACTTCGGGATTTCATTTTGAATTTTTCTGTCATAATAAATTACAATGATAATAGTCGAGTTGGAATTGTATCCGACAAGAACTCGTAAATTCTTCATAAAAAACTTTATTTTCATGAATCGGTTAGTTTTCTAAAATAAAATCATAGATTTCGGATGTGAATAAATATCGACATAAAATATCAAAGACTATCGAGAGTTTTCTATCTAGAAACATACTATAAATAAGAAAATGTTCTTTTCGTCTGATAACTCAAAATTTTCAAAGTTTTGCAACAAAAGTCATAATAATATTTTTGATTTACAGAAAATGAATGAAAAACGAGAACAAAAATTAACACTTTCTATATAGAGAACTGCAATACTTATTCTTAAAAGCAAAGAAAATAATCTCAGCATAGTATTTAAATAATAGAATGTTGGCCTATTTGAACCATCTTTTTCTTAAAAATATCCTTTTACAAAGGTCATGTCATTCTACTAGCGCCTGAAGCAAAACACTCAAAGTTCGAGAAATATTAATCTGATGATTAAAAAAAATAATGAAACTACACAGAATGACAATTAACCTGACATAATAATTTACTAAAACTGGATTTTAAATTGATTTTGTGTTTTTAGCGCACCATTCTTCTTAATTGCTCTGAGAATAGTTCTATGTAACTCAAAATTGTTATCCACTGATCGAAAAGATTAATAGGACGGTCGCGCGTTTCACTACATTTAACATGAATCTAGTTCATATCGATGAGCTATGTGATCTATTTTTTGCCTAGCACCAAGACAAATCAACAGACAGATCGGAAAGAATAATTTTATTGGATTATGTTGCTTAATCAGAAATTCGAACAGTACTTAAAATGAAGATAATCACACCTGTCGTATTGTGGACTTATCCAAAATATATTACTGATGATGATCCTTATTTATGTCGCAGCTAGTGTCTAACTACACCCAGGTGACTGGATTCGACACTGGAACCTATCGGATTCCAACGCTAGGGTTCTGATTGTAGATCCCCGCGCCCATATACCGATAGGATTTCGTCGGTTTAATGAAATCCATAATTATATCCGACACGAATCCGATAGGATTCCACTATCGAAATCATTCTCCTGGGCATGTTATAGGAAGCATGAAAAGATTGATTCAACTTAAAAATATATATAAATAACCCATGTTGCGCATACCGGATCCTTTTTTTGTGGTAAACCGCCGATTTTCATCCGGTTTTTATAGCATGGGAAATATTAGTATCCCCATAAAACGACCATGCTTATTATTTTAGTTACTGATGAACCGCAATATGAATAATTTTATATAATGATAGACTTGTGCAGAGGTCTATGCGATCTGATAAAATTTATCTAGGTCGTTCTGGAAATTGAAACTTATTAGTGTCAGAATCTCGGGGAAAATAAGAACTGATTAGCTGCATTTTATTTGTTCACTACAGTCTAAGCTAAGGAAATCAGACTTCCATGTCGTCAATGAATCTATACTAAATGTTTTTTGGTGTTCCTCAAGACTATAACTAAGAAAATACGAAGAAATTGAATAAGACATTGTCAACCGAACTCAACTTTATTTTTAATTATTCATTAAATAGTTATTTAGTTTACCATTGTATAGCTCGTTTTTTTTTTGATAGATTTCTTAATAAAATCGTTAAATTCTTTTCCGGACACCCGCTACTATTGTCGTAGGCTAATTGAAAAAAGATTTGATCAAATCCACTCACAAAAATAAAAGAAAAGATTTTTTTCTTCTTTTCATGTCATAAGAATTTCTACCGACTAACGTTATGATTTGTATCAACGACTAGTACTTAGTATAATCGCTAAGCGATATATTTTCCATAGCTCAGACACTCTTACACTATGATATCGTTTCCTGACATCGGAATATATTTCTACGATTCTGTTCAAGTGTTGCAGATATTTTTGAACAATTAGAACACACTTGAACATCGTACCCGTTTCGATTATTTAGAGAAATCTTAATGAAACATTTCACGTACTATTATAAAGTATAACAAGATTCATGTCTCTTACTTCAGCAAAGAATACAACACAGCCCGTTGAAGTGAATGCTGTTTGACATAGAAATACTATTTAGAATTATGAATGGTTGATAGTTATAATGCGATGGACCTAACAGGAAAATTACTTAATAGATTGTAAAGAATAGTATCTCATTGGTAACATGTACCTTTTTTATGGACAATAAAAACGGAAATTACTCATTATAATTTTCTTCGTAGTTTCATAGCCATGCCTTTGGTAATGATGTTTATTTACATTGACTCAAAGGTGTCTAATATACGACAATCTAATAAGCAAGATTGCATGTTTCATTTCGAATAGAGTGTAAGTTATGGCAATATATGAAAAATTTATCATAGATTTTTTCACTACATACAACTAAAATTGCGCAATAAATAAAGTATTCTAATAAAATAGATTTTCGAAGATTATTTTTATTTCTTCAATACAAATATAAAATTTCACATCATAGAATGATTCTTAAGCTCAGTTCTAATACTTACGTTATTTCATTATGTCAAACGAGATCATCTATCAGTAATAAGAACATGGATTACTCCAAATACTAAACATAGAATGAAAATATATATTGTTTTCGATGAATATTTACTGGAACACGAACAGCTCACATATCTTGCGGGATATCTACTCTCATCTAATCAGTGCAAATACGCAAAAACTTCTATGTTTATTTGTATCGAACTTTATCAGCTAGAGCAATTATTGTGATATTAAAAAACACGAATAAGCGAAAATTGATACACCCACCTCGTTTTGAAATGAAGATGTTTTTCTATAGATACTAGAAAATAAAATTTTTAATTGATTCCAGAGAGAGAAAAACAAATTGCGATCTTATATTAAGTGGCCTGCATTTAGTGTTTTTTAATTGTCTGAATCTCTCAATTATAATGAAGAATATATTAGATGTTTGTTAACTCTATTATAGAATTTCATGATAAAGTATCTTTTCCTTTAAAATTTTGATCTCATTAGTAGATAAGTTTGTTTATTTAATAAATGATTCCTAATTACTCTAAAGTCGTATTTTATTTTTTGTTTAACTAGAATCGATGTAGCATCATTCTGTCCCTAGATTTTCAATTTCCCATTGGAAAATAAGCCATAAATAAAAATGTCTACGCAGGACTTTCTTCACAGGTAAAGTCATGCTATTCAAGAGAATAAAGTATATTAATTAGTTACGATTGCATGTAGCAAAGAAATATGCGCACATAAGAGAACTATAGCAAACAGGAGATTTTCACATTCACATACTATCATCGCATATATTAACTGCACTGTATCAGGTAATTATACTTATGATCTTGCATGTTCTACTTTGTCGGCACTCAAGCGGTTACAGACGGTATTTTTGAGAATAGTAGTGCACTCTAAGTTCGGCAGATTGCTTTCAAAGATTAGGAGCTTCTCCGATGTCATAAATTTATTGATTCGCTTAAATTAATATGTTTTGTCTTATTATTAAAAACATCATCTGGAGCAGATCAACATCAATAGGCTCTGTTACTTAATAAAAAAAAAACGAATGCCCTCTTTCCTCTATTCTTGTGCCCCTAGATCATTGAAAATAGTAGACAAATGATGCTCTTCAGTTGTTTTGACTTCTCGTTATTTTTTTCTCTAATTTATAGAAATTCGCCAAGAGACATACACTATTCTTTCCAAGATGTAATAAGTATGTAGACATTCAGGCTAACGTTCCCATATGAAAAGCTTATTTAGAAGTTCATAATCATTAAGGTATTCTTTTTCTAAACACAACATCAAATAGTAGAAAGAAGAAAAGCATATAACGAAAGTAGCCGATTCGTTGTCTGACAATACATTTATTACACTAAAATAAAAGATAACATATATATATATATATATAGATATTTATCAGTAGAATTCTTTTCTGTGATAAACATTTTAAATGTAGAATTAAAGATTATTCATTTTGGCATGCATAGTCATTAATTATATGCGAAAGAAAAGAGAAATATTAAGCATGCATAAAAAACTCATTTCATAAAAATTACACGATACTAATTACTTTTTTCTTTACTTTCTCTCTCTCTCTCTCTCTCTCTCTCTTTGTGTCTCTTTACTAAGATGTAGATTGTTAGTAGATCAGTTTTATTCATGTATACTCATTTATTTTATTTTCTAGTCCGCGTAAGATCAACAGGCAAGCATAATCCTATCTTATCATTCAAATAATTACAGCTATCTTATTTAAAGAAAACAAAACAAGTTTCTATATCTTATTATAAAATAATGCCAAACCACAAAGACATAATCACTAAACATGTATCATGGATTGTTTTTATTTTCCTTGCTATACAAACTGCTCAAGTTCTTTCGGCTTTCACTGATGTTCCACGTAAGTTGGTGAAGATATAAATTAATATGCATAAATATTTATTTATTTCCAGCCCCACCTAAACGCCCGGAACGTTTTCATTCTCGTGAAGAACTTAAGCGTTATTTACAATTGGTATAATATAAATATTTATCTATTCGCATTTAAAATAAATCTTTAATTTAAGGTACACGAATATTATGCGATTATCGGTCGGCCACGTTTCGGTCGTTCTACTCAGCTAAAACCGAGAATCGAGTCAAGTGATTTCGATCTCTTTAAATTTTTCGATACTAATGGTGACAAATCAATCTCATACAAAGAATTTCATGGCCGAATCGGAGCATAAGAGAATAGTGTATGTTCTATCGTAATACAATCTATTGTTACACGCTAACATTTATTTATTTTTATTGTGTTTCTTCTTCATCTGTAGATGAACTAATTTTGCACTTCGGTACGATGATGATTCATGTTGTTTCAAAGTGGCCATCGAGATTCTTTGTTTGCTTCTTCTAAATATACTCTATATCGCTTGTATATCTATCAGCTTGTAAACAGCTACAATAAAATTGACCGAGTCCAATCAATATTAATTTATAGAAAACAAAATGTACACTATATAGCTAAACTATATTTTCCATGGGAGTTACCATCAAATTTCACGCCTTTGCAATATATGTCCGTAACTGATCATTATTCTATATTGGGCATAGTTTTTTTTTTTTATTAGAAAAACTATCCAGACTAAATGAAGCTTAATAAGATTATGGTCGTCTTAATTTATGTTGTTAAATAACATCTCATCGATAGGTTTCTTTATAACAAAAAAGTTTGAATCCTTTGAACGCACTCAGAGTAAACAAACTTCCAAAAGTTTGAAATTAACTAAAAAGATTGATTTCTTGGCAAACGTAGAGCATATGACTCATAGAAATGTTTGAATTACATCATCAACAAATGATTTTACTTTTTAGGTTTTTAGAGCACTACTCTTTTGAAAAATATACGTTTTTTAAATATGCAAACGTTATGCTTGTAATTTCTGAGTACCTTCAATTTACTACATCCTTTTTCAAAAGAAAAAGATATAAATATAAATTTCTAGGTCTCGAAAAATATGTCCTTAACTTTTATAAGAAGCTCTTTTGCATACGAATGCTAAATTTTAAAACATAGTAATAAAGTGTAACATGACCCTAATAGTGCATTTAATATATCGAGGGCAAAAGAGATACAACATATAAAATATACTTTCATTATTAAACATAATTATTTTTCCTCTTGTGAGCTACATATGGTCATTAAATATACCAATGATCACTATCTTATCATAGTCAAAGCTATAAATAAAAGAACTCGAAAAACAAATTTCACATCAAAGCGGATTTTCTATAGAGCAAAAGTCAAAATTGTATCGACCCCAAAGTGTTGGATGTCATGTTACGTGTGTGCTATGCGTAATAGTTATGTAAATATGACCCATTTCCGTTCTACGCGAACTCTATACGCTTGAAAATGGATATTTGTTTTCCTGTTTTTTCTACCGTTCAGATTTACTGTGATTTGAAACCAACGCAACATTTTTTTAAAGACGTAATTTTGTCTTATGTTTGGTATAATTTTGGTGTGAATATCGGACTAAATTGATAATCGCGACTTTCACAGACGAATCTCGTGTAGACCGTTTTAATCAGTGCAGAATAGAGGATCGTCAATAGACCATGGATAAATAGTAAATAAGTCGAGTTTTAGGTGTTAGTATAGAAACTTTTATCTATCTGATGATTTAGCAATAAGTTCGAACATATTATTTTCATCGGTGCATTGATACGAGTTTCATCTGTATACTCATTGGCCGAAATGTGGATGTGTCGCGTAAGGAAATACTATGATTAGACTATTGGCGACATTACAAAAGCTAATATTTCTATACATTTATTCGAATTCTTTTGAAAATATTCAAAAATAGTCAAAGTGATGGAAAACTTTCCAATACCTAATTTAGACTCTTCGAATACGCTATAAATAGAAGCATCTAATATTATATATTCATTTTCTTACCTTCAGAAACGTCAACGCAATCTCGATAATTTGTTTATGATGAATTCATCCGAATAGAATCAAATAATTTGAATGCTACAGACCGGACATGAAATTTAATATCCAACCTTATTAGTTAATCATAGGGTTCATTGTTTACCTGATGCTTCCGCATAGAAATAAATTTTCGATATGTTTTGGACATAAAAGAATCATTATTAATCTTCAAAACAAAATAAAACTTTAATAGTCTTGTTCTTATTTGGCTGTTTTGTGTCTTTTCTTTTTTTCTTTTTATATCAAAGGTGTTAAGAAAGTAATATAAACTAAGTTTTATTTGTTGGAGCAGCAAAAAAAAAGAACCGAACAGGACAGGATATATTTTTTTTTTCGAAAAAGGACATCAATCATAATAATAGACTATTCGGAGGAAAAATTTAGCAAGTTTATTAACTTTACATATCATCGACTGATTTTAAAGCCAATTCTGGTTTATGATAACCTAAATCTTCTGGTATTGATACACCCAATTCATTCAATGTTGGACGAATTTCTTGAAGAATCCATGGCCATACTTGATTTGAAACAGTATTGGATTTATAACGGATAGCTTCTAAATATCGAACAGCCAATGAATGATCATTAGCACGACGACAGGCTTTTAGACAAGCTTTGATTATATCTGGTTCAGGGATTAAATCAAGACGATTCATATGATTGATACCTTGTCGAATATCCCAACCTAAAGTATAAACCTCAGTTAAATAATTTTTCAATCTTTCTCAATTACCATCAATTGCAGGACGATCAAAATATGCTTTCCATCGTTGATCGAATTCTTCATCGGTTTCTTTATTATGTGAGGACATATTCCGTTGCATTGTTGCCCACACTGGCCGTGCCGTTTTACTTAATGATTGAAGAAGTACAGAACGAAATAGATATGCCATCTGAAATAAAATTTACAACTGCTCATGCATTGAAAAAAACAGATTACTAAATTATTATTTGATAAACAGGAAAAAAGGAAAAAACAGATAGAACCATAGAATTTTATGTATCACTATTTAAATTGAGCTGTTCGATTTGTTTATCAATACTTTGAATAGCGTTAAGCAACACTAGTTTACGTTGACTCAGACGGGTTCGTTCCGTATTGGAATGGTCATTTATTTGACTATGACTATCAATCGCATAATCAGAGAGATAATCACTATGCGGCGAATAGGCCGATTGAGCATTGGAAAGTAAACGATGAAAATTTTGTTGTTGCAATTTAGTTATTTCATCGTTTTGTTTTCGCTGATCAAACGAACGATACGATGAAGCCATCGAATCATTTGAAGAATCAACTTTTGCTATAGATCTAAACAAAAATACAGAAAATTTTTGTTTTATTTTTAACTGCAATTTTCAAGGCATTCTATTGGTCATACTTATTATGTGTAACGGTTGGGATCCTATTTGATTGATTTCTTTTGCTCATAGGTGAATTTTGAGAACGATTTTCTGTTGTTATTTTTGCTGATACTGGTCTTTCTGGCGCGAATAATTGATTTAGATAAGCAGAAATAAGTTTCGCGCCTGCGTGACATCGTGCTACAGAACAATGATTTATACCTAATTGAAGATGATATGGACAACGTTCTTCAATCATAAATGAATAAGCTGCATTTGCAAACGTTTTTTCTATGTCATCACGTGATACATGATGTTTCTTTAATTCAGCTAAAACCATAATTAAGGATTCAATACTTGATAGATTAAAAAGACGTGTGTCTTTTGTTGGTGCTTTTCCTAAAACAAGCTTAAAACATATTTGTTTAATTCTTCACCGGCCAACGTTACCTTCGGCTTTCTCTTGTAACCAATCAAGTAATTTACTTGTTTGTTCATATTCTAACGACGGAAAAAAGACACACGGTTGACTTGATCGAAGATAACGTCGCCGTGATCGATCATCATTATTATTCGACGCATTGTTTATTGTTGTTTGAACAAATGATTTTAATTCATGATAGATTTGCTTGTAGTTATCAGTTGCTTCATAGAAATCTTTCAATGGAATTTGATGTGTTTCCTTGGTATGTTCCAAACACGATGACATATAACCCGATGGGATTTTATCTGGTTTTATAAATTTTTGTTTATACATGGTTACACCTTCATTTAATGTATACTATTTAGACAAATTACGAACAAAAATAGGTGGTTGTTTAATTGCTTTTTTTATCTTACGCATAAAATACAGATTTCAGCTGGAACAAATTGTCCTCCGTCTTCGTCGTCAACTTGACAAAAGATTTGAAAATTGATTATATATATTGGCATAGATAATAATTCACTTTTGTCGAGTGGTAAATATTCATTCGTGAGAAAAGTTCGTTCTAAACTAAAACGATCATAATGCAGTTTTAAATCAGCCGACGGAATATCACGTTGTCGGAGAATCCTATCGTTTTTAACTTGTTTATTCTCATTTCCGCGTTGATTAGGTGGACATGCTTGTTCGGGATTTACTCGATATTGTATTCGCCATTCATCATATTGAGTTTTATAGGGTTGTTTTGCTTCTACTGGTAGTGCTCTCCAATCATCGTAACATGCAGCTATGGCTTCATTGATATTAATTCGTTGGCCACGATCGCGTTCGCAACGACGTTGAAATTCACGAGCAAAAAAGAAGAAGGGCGATCGACTTGGCCGTGGCATGTATTAATTACAAATCTCAAAAATGAAAAATAACTATTCTATATGAAAAATGAGCTAACAACGAAATAAACCCAAACTTCTTCAATTGTTTTCTTGAATCAAAATTTAAACTTGAGCAAAAAAAGAGACTTTTAAATACAAAAAAAAAACATAATCATATGAAAATACAAACCAATGAAAAACAAAAACAAAACAAAAAGAAAGACTTTTTCTTATCACATTATTGCATAACATGAGAAAGACTAGGCGCCGGATAGATGAGATTACTACGACGACCACGACCAATACTATTCACAAACACATAACGATCTGAATCATTACTATTTATTGTCGATGCATATCTGACTGTTTTCTTAATACCACGACCAGGCATTATAAATTGATCTTCATCATTTGTAATGTTTTTATGTAAGGAAGATATTGGCCAACGACAATCAAGTTCAATCGGAGGTCCTACTCTTAATTTTGACCATATCGATAACTACGGGGAAAAAAAGAAAATTATTCTTCAGTTTCGATTTTTAATGTAAGTCAATATTACTTTGTTGTTTGTTGCAACATTACTAATTTGTTGATCAGTCGATGATGATTGTACAAAAACATTGGAGCCTACTGCTCCTAATTTAATTGGTTTCGATTGATTTGTCTACAAGATACAAATGTAAACCAAAGAAATCCGAAACAAATAATTCTTTTACGATTTCTGGCTGTGTTAGAACACTTAATTTATTTTGTTTTTCAATAAATGTTGAACTAATCGAATCAACTGCTGTTGGCACTGATACATTACTGATGGATTGAACGTCATCCATACAATTATTCGTTGGTAATGATTTTATCAAGTTTTTATCAATAGATTCGGCTTGAACATGTTGAGAAAATGATTGAATAAAGCGCTGACGAACAAATCCATCAAGAAAAAGACTAAAACCGTGATTAATAGCACGACAACAATATTGTATTGCTAATGAATCATGATAAACACATCGTTCTTTAACTTGTATTGTATAAACAGGCCGACGCAGTTGTTCTCGAACACTTTGATGAGCATAATCACCGAAACCAAGACGACGAAGTATGGCAGCAACTAAAGCTTCAAATGAAAAAATACGAAATAATGGTTTTGATGATGTTTTTCGATTGAGTTCATCTTTTGAAACAAGCCAATTAAGAAGATAAGTTGTTTGATCACGTTCGAATGCATTACAAAATATTATTATTGGCTCTGTCGCCGACGAATCGACAACCGAATCTATGCAATAAAAAAATTAAAATGCTTTATTTCGGGTAACTATCGAGTTTATAAGTTTCTATAAAATTAATTGTACTAACCACCAATGACTCGTTTGACTTCTTGCCATATTCTTGAATAATCTCCGTTAGCACCAATAAAATTAAATGGTGGAATTTGATGTGTTTCACGAGATAAATCAATTGCTGTACCAGTGTAGCCAATAGGGAATTTTTCTGGTTTCATAATTGTAAAATATTCTTGTTTAACACTTTCACAAAATGAATATTTCATAATCGATATTTCAGCTGGATAATAATCGCCTCCGTCTTCATCGTCGGCTCGACAAAAAATTTGAAATGTTACAAAATATAAATTTCGTTTGAATACATCAGTAAGATCATTAGAAAAAAATGAATCCAAAAATTTATTTTCATTACTATTTTTTTCAATAAATGATGCTTCTTCACTAGACGGTATAACAGGTGTTATAACATTTTCATTGTTTAGCATACGTGCACGTTTATGTTGTTTAGCTAAACTATAAGAAATGAACAGCTATTTATTTTATTATTATCTTTTTTTTCCAGCATACTCTTCATAGGGTTTCCTTTCAACAAGAGTCATTGAACGCCAATGAGGTAATAGATGTATAATTAAATCATGAATCGACATACGAGAATAAGCTGGATAAAGTTTTCGATGTTCATCAGCCAAGTAATAGATTCCTGTTCTATTAACATTTTGTTTTTTCTTCGGTGGCATTCGTTTTTTTGATTTTGATCCAATGAAAGTATAGAAACTAGTTTAGGGTTTTTTCTAAATTAATTTTCGTTTTGACGTATGCATAGAAAAAAAATATTCATATTCCAACTTCTTGTTGATCATCACAGTACTTCAAAAACAAAACATGGAAATACCAATGAATGGATGATAATCCATCGAATAATAATTGATATTTTTTTCTTTCAATTCTGTTAACGATGAAATTCATATTAAATATAAATTTTCGAAAATTCTATGAAAATAATAAACAAAAACCAAGAGACAGAGCGAAACTCACAGTTTCTGTTAAAGAATAGATGGCGTTAACAAAATTTTCTCTAAAATTTGGGGAAGTAGTATTTTGTATTGTGAGTTCAGCTTTTCTAGTATTTGCCCATGAAGTAAAATACATGTGTAAAATAGATTGCTAGAATGATTAGGAAGGTTTCTTAATGTAGCTATGGTGCTAACAGACGCATCTTTGCAGATGTGAAGCTCTTTCTCGGTTCTCCCTTTTTGTTACTGTTCTGGTAATTTGTCAACTTACTGTAAGATTGATTTCGGTAGACTTACTAGAAAATACAGCGCGGAATACTACGTCGTTCCTTAATTAAGAGAAGCCCTTTCGGCATATCGGTGACGAACTATGCTAGCATAAAGATGAGATTTTGTGATACATCTTTTCTACTGTGGACTGTACTGATCAATTAACTAATTAATTAGGTAGTAGGTAACTCATTAATTCAATCATCTGTTTCGGTTTGAGAGAGAAGGAATGAGTAGTAATTTCTATCTTAAATATTTCACTAATCTTTTTTGATCATCTTACCCACAAGTATTAAATCTTGAAGGATCTCTGGCGTGGGTGTCAAAGTAAGTGGACACAAACTTCACACCCACACCCAAATTCTCAAATGGAAAACATATATTTCAATCTAATTCCAAATAAGAACAATAAGCGGAATGGATAAAGCAATAGCGACAATCATATGCACAAAAAACAACATGAGTATTATATTGTTGGGAAGTCTATTATGAGTTTCTTCAGTTTGTTGTAACATCAGAGTTGGTGGTAAATTTGAATTGGTCAATTCATATTCTCTAGTCTCTTTAGAGTAAGCAATTGGTGACATTCTTGAAAAGTATAATCGAACGATTTCTAATAGAACAACAATTATTAAGACCCAAGCTGACCACAGTGACATAATAACTATCAGGCCGGCACGGTTGGCTTTCCATTTCACTATTATAATAAAGATAGTGGGGACAGAGAGTAAAAATGCCAAAAATCCAGTTGCTCGATGACACCAGTTATAGACAAAACGAAATGGACTATCTGGATGGCAGCGAAATAGTGCCATGGATACTTGCAATAGCGCACAGCATACAATAATACCACCAAGCACCGAATGCACAAAGGTGAGTCCTTCTCTGAGTTTTATCCATTCGCCGTTAACTTCAGCTAAAATAAGTAAAAAGCCAAGCAGTGTAGCCAGGGTCGCCAAAAACAGAATAAAGCGGTGACCTTGAAACCAAATTGATTCGCCGAGAAATTTTTGCTTATTGCCAATATGTAACGAACGTCCATAACGTGCAAATAATATACCTGTAGAAGCGAAAATCATCCAGCCGATGACCATAACAGTGCCATGGGCATTTTTTAGAATATGCTTTTCTTCCCGAGATCGTCCATTGACAGTCGCTGTCGACATTTTCTGCGCTTTCACTGTCAAGGAAACTTTTTTACTGGCTAATGACATCGCCATTAACGTGTTTTTTTATAATACATTATTGGGTTGTGTACAAGCTTAGTTGAATGAAAGTAGGCGTAATATCAGAATTAAAAACGCATTACGTTGGCACCTTTTTTTTGTGGTTCTCAGAACAAAAAGAAATTTTATTGACACTTATGGAGAAAATAAAAGAGAATGAGTTGGAGAATGTACCCCTAAATGTAGAAGTATAATAAATAACCTTTCAGCTCATACAAATACTAAAAGAATGTACTTTTTCGATATATAACCAAAGCAAGGAATTACTAATTATCACTGCAACCAGTCAATTAAAGAAGAGAAACTGTTTTTAAAATCATACCTTTCTTATAAAACATTGAACAAAAGCTACAACTAGTATGGATGTACGTAAATCAATTCAAACACAGGTCGATTTGTCTCTTGCCGAAAACAGAAATCAATCTGATGCTCTCAACTCTTGCTTTTTAGCAATCGACCTAGTCGAGAGTCAAATGAAATCTATGCTTCAATTATAGTAATTTTAAAAAAAAAGTGTCTCTTCTGCGATTAAACACAATCAAGTAGTTTCGATGTAATTTTGAATAATTAAATGAAACCTTTATTTTAAACTTATAAAAAAACAGATTTCAGTTGATTCACTCACTGCATATTTTGAAAAGAAGACAAGTTATCACTCTTCAAATGCCTCTGGAATACAATTCTTTTTGAAATATAGGATATTTACCGTTTCTGCCTTCTGTCAACGAAGAAAAAATTGTTCTGTTTTCATTCCCATCTTTGTGCCACTGACGTTTAAATCAATTAAATGATTACTCACCAATACTTCGATCTAAATGAAATAATGAAGAATGTTCTCTATTTAATGTTTGAATTTCATCAGCAAGAATATTTATCATTTCGTAAATTTCTTGCACATGCGAACTTTGATTGACTGTATCACTATAATAATTGTTTGCTGATAAATATCATTCACATAATATTCTGGGAATTGTGTTTGACAAACTTAAACAGATCGCTTATTCAAGCTGATCTAATAATTGTTATAACAATGATAATCGAACAAAATGCAGTTTTAAAATTTTCACCACCAACTATTTCATCCTACTAAAAGTATCACATTTAATCTACAGATTGAATTAGGATACTTAATTTTAAGATGCTCTTAAAATAATAGTTCATCATGTGTATTGTAATTGAATTAAATATTATAAAGTACGTTCTATTTGTTGTACTTCGTAATCCTTACATCATATGGCATTCTCATAACCAGGTAGTATCTTTACAGAAAACAAATTGATACCGCTGGGTTTGTTTAAGACATGTTGTACATGTGATTATACACCTTGATGAAAAACATTTCATATTCAAATGAGATCAACACGTTTTACATTGACGATGTTCACATAGTTGTCGTAAAATAAGATTGCATAGTCGACAAATATACGATCCGTTGATATTTTTTCTGTTTCTTGCGTCAAAATCAAAAATAATTGAACGAATACTGTAAAGTTATTAGCTCAAAACAGAAGTAGAGAGGTGATATTTATTTTATCATAAATAATCTTATGTTTCAACTTGGTCGTTCATTTTATATACAAATCAGTAGTGAACAACAATAAAGTTAAGCTGAGCACCTCATGACTTATTGATCCTTTCGTAGTGTAGAATACGAAAAAATACATGGTTGGGAAAGGTAAAGCAAGTTAAAATGACGTGCTCAATGTTTTGTTCACGGTGATAATAAAAATAGTTCATCAATGAAAGAGGTCAGAGATCCATAACAACAGAACAAATCATAGTGTGCATAACATTTTCTCTGAGAAGATCTTTCAGTGTTTCAAACTCATTCTTATTATAGCAACATAAATACATATCAAATAGATGAAAATATTGTTTTATTCAAAGAAACTTCTTTATTTAAAAAATTAAATGTAAGGTATTCTTCTATATGGGTCATTGTTTTACCATCACGTTCTTTTTTTTCTAAGAATTCCTTTTCTTTAAAACTATTTTTTTGATAATCATCAACAGTCTTTTTGCGTATTGAATTTTCATCAATATTATTCATTGGTAAGACTTTCAGTAATTTTTGATTCGAAAAAATGAAGTTGAGACAAATTATGAAAACAACGGATTAGACACTGACGATTTAAAAGATACAATATTGAATACAAGAACTGATATTTTCATCATGTTTTCAAGTTTCGAATAGTATAGTTGTGAATATACTGCATTGAAAAATTTGACAGTTCTTCACATCACATTCAGGCAAGTTAACTATATTGAAAGAACTATTCCTTAACAACGTTCAAGTTTCTTCTTTAAATCTTAAAATTTTTTCTTGTTTTTTTCTTCACTAAAATCAAAAATTCCCATACATATCATATGTTTCTTTCTCTTCGATCATCTCCAACAACAATTCGATGAAATCAAAAACAAAACCAAAAAATAAGCATCAAATTAAAATAACATAAAATGACATGAGGCCAGAGAGAATGAGAGCTCGATTTGAATCGAAACGAACAGTATTCCGGGCGGAATATTAAACATACCAACTAGTTTTAACTCACAAAAACGATGAGAGCCACTCACCTTGAGTAGAAATTGCGAAATAATGTAGAACAAGGAAGGCCTTTTCATACATGTTTTGTCACTGCCGTCATATTTGCCCCTCGCACCTACGAACACTACCATGCCATTCTGGCGTGTTGCACCCTATCTCAAACCACTTCATAAACACCATCGCTACTACAGATCGCGCACGCCTATTGAACACTACAATAATAATCACACTCAACATACATTCCGCAGATGCGTAGACATAGACCACATATGCACGCTACTTTTCCTTAAGTTCAATTACATTTTTCATGGATTTAATATTTCCATACGTTCCACGATACGCAGTACGGAAAACACGGAGTCCTTTTCTAAACGTGACACAGATATTAAATGCATAGCCATGATCTAATCAAATGAAACCATTTGCCTCCGAGAACAAACCAAAAATGGATAATTCGGCGGAACACCCGCTTTTTGTTAAGACCGCCTTTGCTAAGATTCATTTGGCATTACGCCAACCATTGCCCACATAGTCATCAACTGTGGCTACATCCGTTTTTCATGGCTGAAAATCATACACAGACCGCCTTCGATCATAGCGGTTTTATTTTTCACCCGCGGACTCGATGCTAAGCCAGTCCTCAACAGTCACTTAGCTGATTTCAAACAGTAGCGGCTCTCGTTTCTTATGACTTATGACTTACCATGCGACTGGGAGCTCTTGAATAGTAGCGACAGTTATTTCTTTTGCGATACCATGTGCCTGGGGAAGTCTTAAATAGTAATCCTTGTCATTCTTCACGATATACCTAGTGGTAGTGAAACTCTTAAATAGTGGTCGTTCTCATTCCTTATGACATACCAAGTTGTTCTGAGAGTCTTAAGCACTAGTGGGTTTCATTCGTCACGACATACCAAGTGGTTGTGAATGTATTGGATAGTGATCGTTGTCATTTCTCATGAAATACCATATGATTGGGGTGGTCTGAGATTGTTGTCGTTTCTCTTGCCATACCATGTGATTGGGGTGGTCTTAGATAGTGGTCGTTTTCATTTCTCATGGCATACCTGTGACGAACATAGAGAGTGTCGCCTATGCCCATCGGCATGATGGTGTATTGTGTCATCTGCACATCTCTAGTCGTGCATTTCCTTTAGTTACATCCCCTTATATACGCGAGAGTGATCACGCTTCAGCGGATACAGACAAAGAGGGAACGGTCACGCAATAGAACAATGAGAGTTCATCAGGTCAATGCACAAACATAGAATACAGCGAAGAGGATAAAGTACATAAAGCGAGCCGTAACGGTAAATACCGCTACAATACCATGTGACTTGACTCGTCTTACATAGTGGTCGTTGTTGTTTCTCTTAAGATAGCATGTAATTGGGTTTGGGATGCAAGTTATAATTAACTTTTCATTTGACTTATATGTACTACATATTTTATTTTGTTTCTTCTCCTGTTTAGAATATGTTCGTTTTGATCCTCAGGAATCGACACAAAATAACTATAGATAAGTATTCCAAAAATTTTATTTTATTTCATTTTATTTTCATTTCAGTGGTACAAGTTACAATTATACAAGTTACACTGCATTGTTTATCTGACTTGTATAAACTATATATTCAATTTTTGTTTCTTCTCTTGTTTAGAATACTTGTTCACTATTCGTTTGTTGTTTGGCTTGTGCAATGGTGAATTGAAAGATAAATTTATTATTATATCAAATTTTTTTTTATAGATTTACTTCTTTCCTTTTTTTTGTTCTAGATCTTCTACTTTTTCTTTTTTCTTGAACGGTTATAACAATGGCTAAGAATTAAACTGTATAAATGGGTATATGATGCTTTGTTGTGAAACTTAATCTTCGATTCAATCAAGCATAAGTTTATGCCATTTTTCAAATAAACAATCTTTTTTTTGTATCTAATATATAAATAAATTACATATTTTGTATCTTGTTTATAATCTTGTTCATATATTAACCAATTAAAATTTCTTCTTTTCCACTTTAGATATAAAATAATATTCCAGAATAATACTTATTTAATTATTTACTTTGTCATTTCTATGATACGTCGACGAGAGGTTCGTATTATTTTACTTTTTATTATTCCTCTTTTATATGACAGCCTGCCAGAGCGGCTTCGTTGCTTGGCCCAGATAGATTCTTCGTGTTACTCTGCTGCGGCGACCTAGTGTAGTACTCGGGAAGGCCTGGATGATGTGCGTGTGGTCTCTGACGTCGTACGTACGGGGCACCTACGTTCATTGCCTTAACAATCCGGCTTGGTTCGCTCTATGCGTATCCGTATCTGGACGCACGGCAGGTCTTTCTGGTCGCGCGCGCGCGCGCGACCAGTAAATAATCAACAGTTATCAAAGCAATTTATTTGAGTAAATACTAGAGAAAATAAACATTTACAACTTCTCTTTCACACCAGCTATAGCATTCATCACGACTTTAATATTCGGATGTGTTGGCGGAAGTGACGTTCTAAAAATACCAAGTGCTTTTTCTAGAAGTGGAAGCGCTTTTTAGTACTCTTACATTTCTTCATATAATCGACCGATGTTGTTGTACGAAGTAGCCAAATCGGGATGATTCGGAGGCAGTGATATTTCCAAGATTTGATGTGATTTTTCGTAATATTCCAATGCTTTCGAGTATTCACCCACGTCTCTATACACTAAACCGATGTTGTTGTACGAAGCAGCCAAATCGGGATGATTCGGAGGCAGAGCTTTTTCTCTTATTTTGAGTGATGTCTCGTAATATTCCAGTGCTTTCGAGTATTCACCTATTCCGTAATACACTAGACCGATGTTGTTGTAGGAAGTAGCCAAATTGGGATGATTCGGAGGCAGTGATATTTGCAAGATTTTATGTGATTTTTCGTAATATTCCAATGCTTTTGAGTATTCACCGATCCTGCTATGCATTCCACCGATGTTGTTATAGGAAGTAGCCAAATCGGGATGATTCGGAGGCAGAGATATTTCTAAGATTTTATGTGATTTTTCGTAATATTCGAGTGCTTTCGAGTATTCACCCATTTTGTCATACACACTACCGATGTTGTTGTAGGAAGTAGCCAAATCGGGATGATTCGGAGGCAGAGATATTTCTAAGATTTTATATGATTTTTCATAATATTCCAGTGCTCTCGAGTATTCACCCATGCTGTTATACACTAGACCGATGTTACTATAAGTAGGCGCTAATGGAGCATCATCTTTTGGAAGCGTTTTTCGCTTGATTTCGAGTGATTTTTCGTAGAAAGTGGCGGCTTTTTGGTATTCACCTTGATGACAATTTATCACCCCAAGCTGATGATAGATATGGACCCTCTCAGTATCATCAGAAGCATCCTCGAGTAATTCATTGTAGAGTTCCTCAGCTTGATCGAAATGACCCCCTCTGAGCATTAACTGGCCCATTCGATACCATCCTTCGCCGTCGATCTCCTGTTTGATGCGATTGGTAAGACCAGCCAGTTGTGGATCACTCTCGTCAGTAATAGTCAATTGTACTTCCCAACGACGACTATTCTCAGCCGGCTGTTTAATTTCACCAACACGAAAAACAGTGTGCATTGTAAATAGTATTTCTTGTTCTTGCGGGATAACACTGTGTTCACCAATAATAGCAAATGGTGTAATTGAAGTTGATATTTTACTTGGATCTATTGTCATAATAAACATAACACCCACAATATCTGGATTTGTCTCTGGGGTGTCTTGAACAAATATTGTCGCCACTTCTCTTTCCTTACTAGTGGATAAGAAGTTGTTAAAGGATAGTAGACCACCTTTTGAATCTAGTAGATTCTGAAAATCCTTTTGGCTGAGTTCTTGACCACGATAGACGGTAAAAGCTTGTTGAAAATTTGCCGACTGTGCTTGATGTAATTGTTCCAGCTGCAGATGCAGACTTTGAATAAAAAAACCTAATTTTATCATCACTTTCATATCGAGCATTCGTAAGGCACGATTAAGCATACCATAGAGAAACATTGGTTTTGTATACCACCAAATAGGTGATTTCTCGTGGTAATTACTCTGTAATAAGTTTATCTGTATTTCAGAAATATTTTGTTCTCGGCAAAAGTTCACTAAAGCATTCACAGATTTGTTGTCATCATGATCGATTTCTAATATGATATCCTTGAAAATCACCGAGTACATGTAGGATGGCGGTAATTGATCAAGATTTTGTTCTGTGGATGCTGCTTCTGATATTTGTCGCATTGATATGAAACTCATCGGTATTGCATCGTGGTCGCATGATTGTGTCGCCTTTGTTAATTGCATGCATATAGACTCTATTGAGTCGTGAATGACTCTCACTTTCGCCCATTCTTTCGCCCAAAATTTGTGTTCATCTTTGTTTGAGCAGAAAAAAAAGATCGTATCAAGTTGAGCTATATCATGTATAAGCGACACTGTTGTTTGACCAAGTAACGGAGAAGTAATTAAATAAATTTTCTGATCATCTACACTTGTTAGATAATCAACACATTGGTCGACGTCAGTAAATGGTTCTACTGTCACGAAAATCTTTCGAAGCTCTGTCAGTAACTTTTGAAAATCTTCCTTTTTTTCGTCAATATTGGCATCGAGCCATACTAAAAGAAAATTTTGCACGATTCTTCTTGGTCGTGCTCGAAAGTCTTCTGAGGAAGCTGTAACAGTAGTGCTAGTAGTGACCTGTTTTGATGCTGCTGAAACCACGTTTGTACTGTATTCTGCAGATGTTACGCTGCTAGTTGTGGATGATTTTTTTTTATCCATGTTGTATGTATTTAAGAGCTTACAGTAATAAAAAAGGAATTATTTAATTGAATAAGTATAAAAAGCTCTTGTAGGTGATTGCATTATCAGCGATGAGACCCATTACATCTGCACCCTTCTTATGCAGCTACCCATAATGTCTAAACTTGTGAAAATTCTGATGTCACGAGCATACCTTCGTCAATATCTAATTTTCTATTGCATACAATGATCTATGTACAGAACGTTAGTGTAGAAACCTATAAAGCTTCTCATATTTTACTTTTTTCTCTCATTTGATAATAATTTCAGAAAAAGAATCATGTTCTAATTGACCGCTCGTGAAGTTCTCCACTATCTACTCAAGTTTAGTTTAAGATAAAACACTTCAATTTTGTTCGAGACTAATTTTAGTACCAACCCATGTAAAAATAAATTGGCATCTAACGAATTGATTTTCAAAATTAACGAGGTTTAATGAAAAACAATGCATGAAGTTTCGTTATCTTTCACAAACTCGTGAAAATGCGTTAAATTTTTCACGATTTTTCATGCGTTAATGACTTTTTAACAGTTACTAACGTGTTAAATATCATGAGAAATTGCACCTGTTTTCACGCGTGAAGTTATTTAACTTCGTTAATTTTAAATGTATTCACGTGTAAGCTAATTCGAGATTTTATGCAATAACTTCAATAAACTTCCAAGTTCAAGTTGCTATGCACCGATTATGAATTATGAAGTGAAATATCTAACGAAAGTAATTGATGGATCTTTGATGTAGATGTTATAATCAGGCTTATCGATTAGGG